CGCATTTAAATGCAGGAAAAATGCGGCTCGAAGAGAAGAAATTCTAGAATAATCTGGATGCTAAATTTAGCCATCATTTTGTTTGTACGACCTGCCTGTGACGTGACGGGAGTGACAACTGATGGACAGAATGAATGGCATGACCCCTCCAACTGCTTCCCCCGGACTAGTACAAGTTCAGGCCAGTTCAGGCCAGTTCAGGCCACCCAGTTCAGGCCAAAAGTTCAGGCCATTTCAGGCCCGTCCAGGGCACTCCAGGTCACACCACTTCAGCCCTTCAGGTCACTTCAAGTCACGGACGGCAACTCGCACTTTCCCCTCTGCCAAGCTTCCATTCAAACGGCAGCTGAATTCGCCCTTGTCTTGTGGCTTCTCTTGTCCTGTCCCTCGCCCCTTCTTTTTCTTCTTTCCTGTTTTCCTTTTTCTGTCCCTCCAGGTTTTTTTGTCCCTCCTCTTTTCTGCTGCTTATGCAATCCTTGCTGCGGGCGCAGACGCCAACCATCCATTCCTCGCTGCAACCTCGATATGCCAGCAACCGCCTGCAATCAAACTCCGAGACATAATCTGCCCTCGACCTCGACCCTGCCCTGACCCCGGACCCCGGTGCCTTTTAACTCTATCGGATCTGCCTTTCTTATCTTTCTTCTAGACTTTTCATCATCTCGACTATGTAAAGCCCAACCCGCTAGGTCAAGCGACTTAACTCGTGCGTCGGCCCGACGCGCACACATATCCAGCTTCACTTGAAGACTGCCCCTACAAACGGCATCTCGCCTCTCCATCACCACCAAACATGCCGTCATCCAACACAAAGGCCCGAGCTGCCGCACTGGCACCATCAATACACCCCAGAATCACCCATCATCGCCCGCCCTCCTCCTCCTCTCACAGCCCTGCCGCCTCTCCCCACGTCGACATCCGCATCACCAACCACTACGCCGCCAAGGTCTACACCACCGGCGCCGTCATCACCGGCGAGGCCGTCCTACGCACCGCCCGCGACCTCCGCTTCGACCGCGTCGCCCTACAGCTCGTCGGCCTCGCCGCCACCCGCAACTACATGGCCCCCGAGGTCGGCCAGGTCCTGCACCGCTTCCTGCTCCTCGACATGCCCGCCGCCGACCTCGCCGCCGCCCTGCCCGCCGACCGCGTCCTCCGCGCCGGCCGCCCCTACGCCCTGCCCTTCCGCTTCGTCGTGCCCCGCCGGCTACCGCTCGGCGCCTGCGCGTCGGCGCGCCGCTGCGAGCACCCGGCCGTTAGGGAGCACCACCTGCGGCTGCCGCCGTCCGTAGGCGGTGCGGACGCGGCGGCCGTTTGGGGAGGTCGCGATGACGGGAGTCCGGAGACGGCCCGCGTGCGGTACTGCGTGTGCGTGGCAGTCCTGCAGAGGTCTTTCGGCTGGGCCCCGGATCTGGTACCGGTGCTGCGCGCACACCGTGAGGTCAACGTCCTGCCGGCGTACGCCGAGGACCCCCCGCTGGATATCCAGTCGGGCGGTGACAAGGCCGGCGAGTACAGGCTCGCGGCGTCCAAGACGCTGCGCAGGTCGCTGGTGACGCGGAGGCTGGGCGTCGAGGCGGGCGGAGGGGCGGGAGGCGGGGGGCAGGTAGGCGAGGATCTCGGCGAGGATCTCGACGGGGAGCGAGTTCATGGCGGCAGGGTGGGGATATTGGACAAGTTTGCGTGCTGCTGGATGGAAAGGTGATTGTTTGGCTGTGGAGGGCGGGTGCTGCTGATGGTCGCTTGTTGGTGTAAGTGGTGATGGGGGCGACACGGAGTACAGCTGGACCGGATTCTGGGTGTGAGTCGGAGGGAGGCAAAGCAAAGTCTAGACACAGGAAAGAAAGGGACGACCAGGTTGATAAAGACATGAGACTACGGACTACCAGAGCTTCGCGCCTCTGTCGACGCCTTGTCGTCAACATGTCTCCAGTTGTACGAGCCCGTCCGGGTTCTCAGCCTGACCCAAGTTGCCCAGAAGGGTACTTGGTACATAGTTTACACTGTAGGAAGGTAGTGTGCAGACGGCGTAAGCTAGGTAGTATACTAGTAACAATCAATCGGAGGCAAGCATCCATAATAATAAAGTTGTCACCAACAGCCTAACGGCCGGTCAGCCCTATTCAGTGTACGGGGGGTGGGTGGTTGGCCTATTTCGTAGCCTTGTGCGAGGTGGCACAAGACCCCTTCGCTTCGAGTCTCCTGTCCATTTTCGGTAACGTTGGAGTCGATGTAGCTTTTCTTTGTTGGTGGCGGTTTGTGGTGGACGGACGATTGCCGAGGCTGGCTGGCAGGTGTGTGTTAGTAAGAGACATTTGCGCCCTCGGAGAGTTTTGAGGGCATCTTGTCGCTGGACTAGGGCTAATTCGTGGCGTCGGATTAACTCGTACATCAATAGAGGAGGGATCGCCAACGGTCGACTCCAACTGATTATGCTGCTTCTCCATGTGGGAGCAAGTACAAGCCGAGTACGAATGAGCAACAGATCGACTGACTGCAAGTGGCGTTGTCGAGCTCCCGCTTTGACTATATGTTTGCTTTCATTCCCTTGCCTCTGCTCTGCCGTGGAATGTAGCAGTGAGCTTGCAGCGATCGACAAGCCTAGCCTACTACTGTACTTGGTAACGCGCCACCACGCAGTGCATTGATTGCTGAGAGGATCGAGTGCAGGCAAGCAAACATGATGGACATCCAGCGGGCTGATGCCAGCGCATTTAAATGCAGGAAAAATGCGGCTCGAAGAGAAGAAATTCTAGAATAATCTGGATGCTAAATTTAGCCATCATTTTGTTTGTACGACCTGCCTGTGACGTGACGGGAGTGACAACTGATGGACAGAATGAATGGCATGACCCCTCCAACTGCTTCCCCCGGACTAGTACAAGTTCAGGCCAGTTCAGGCCAGTTCAGGCCACCCAGTTCAGGCCAAAAGTTCAGGCCATTTCAGGCCCGTCCAGGGCACTCCAGGTCACACCACTTCAGCCCTTCAGGTCACTTCAAGTCACGGACGGCAACTCGCACTTTCCCCTCTGCCAAGCTTCCATTCAAACGGCAGCTGAATTCGCCCTTGTCTTGTGGCTTCTCTTGTCCTGTCCCTCGCCCCTTCTTTTTCTTCTTTCCTGTTTTCCTTTTTCTGTCCCTCCAGGTTTTTTTGTCCCTCCTCTTTTCTGCTGCTTATGCAATCCTTGCTGCGGGCGCAGACGCCAACCATCCATTCCTCGCTGCAACCTCGATATGCCAGCAACCGCCTGCAATCAAACTCCGAGACATAATCTGCCCTCGACCTCGACCCTGCCCTGACCCCGGACCCCGGTGCCTTTTAACTCTATCGGATCTGCCTTTCTTATCTTTCTTCTAGACTTTTCATCATCTCGACTATGTAAAGCCCAACCCGCTAGGTCAAGCGACTTAACTCGTGCGTCGGCCCGACGCGCACACATATCCAGCTTCACTTGAAGACTGCCCCTACAAACGGCATCTCGCCTCTCCATCACCACCAAACATGCCGTCATCCAACACAAAGGCCCGAGCTGCCGCACTGGCACCATCAATACACCCCAGAATCACCCATCATCGCCCGCCCTCCTCCTCCTCTCACAGCCCTGCCGCCTCTCCCCACGTCGACATCCGCATCACCAACCACTACGCCGCCAAGGTCTACACCACCGGCGCCGTCATCACCGGCGAGGCCGTCCTACGCACCGCCCGCGACCTCCGCTTCGACCGCGTCGCCCTACAGCTCGTCGGCCTCGCCGCCACCCGCAACTACATGGCCCCCGAGGTCGGCCAGGTCCTGCACCGCTTCCTGCTCCTCGACATGCCCGCCGCCGACCTCGCCGCCGCCCTGCCCGCCGACCGCGTCCTCCGCGCCGGCCGCCCCTACGCCCTGCCCTTCCGCTTCGTCGTGCCCCGCCGGCTACCGCTCGGCGCCTGCGCGTCGGCGCGCCGCTGCGAGCACCCGGCCGTTAGGGAGCACCACCTGCGGCTGCCGCCGTCCGTAGGCGGTGCGGACGCGGCGGCCGTTTGGGGAGGTCGCGATGACGGGAGTCCGGAGACGGCCCGCGTGCGGTACTGCGTGTGCGTGGCAGTCCTGCAGAGGTCTTTCGGCTGGGCCCCGGATCTGGTACCGGTGCTGCGCGCACACCGTGAGGTCAACGTCCTGCCGGCGTACGCCGAGGACCCCCCGCTGGATATCCAGTCGGGCGGTGACAAGGCCGGCGAGTACAGGCTCGCGGCGTCCAAGACGCTGCGCAGGTCGCTGGTGACGCGGAGGCTGGGCGTCGTGGCCGTCGAGGCGGCGCAGCCCCCCGCCGCGGTCCTCTCCCCCGACGCGCGACGAGCGCAATCGCCAGTGCGCGTCGTGCTGAAGCTCCGATTCCGGCCCGCCGCTGAGCCAGACGAGGCGGTGGCGCCGCTGCTACCTGCCGTGCACGCGGTCGCGGCGAAGCTCGTCGCCCGGACATACTACAGCACCTCGCACATGGGCGCCTTCCCGGACCGCGAGCGGAAGGCCGAGCTCAACCACGGCCCGTCGCTGCACTACTCGGACACGAGCCGGGTGGCGAGCGCGCAGCTTGCCTGGGTCGAGGGCTGGCGGCAGGTGGCGGCGGCGGGCGAGTCGGTGGCGGCGCTGGATGCCGTCTTCGAACTCCCCGTGGACGACAGGAAGATGCTGCTGCCGACGTTTCACAGCTGCTTGCTGTCGCGGACGTACACGCTGCGGCTCGTGCTGACAGTCGGGCCCGGGCGGACGCGCATCTCGCTGTCGCTGCCTCTGCAGATTATTGTTGAGGGTGGTCTGTCCAAGTCTTGCGAGGACGTCCCTGAATGCGGGGAGGTGGATGATGTTGCGTTACCGAGGTACAAGGACCATCTGTTTGTGCAACACCACTACGATGAGTGTGATACGCATATACCTCTTGGCATTGGTTTAATCATGTAAATAAAGCGTTTGTCATCTTTTGCATCTACTATGCGCGCATTTAAATGCAGGAAAAATGCGGCTCGAAGAGAAGAAATTCTAGAATAATCTGGATGCTAAATTTAGCCATCATTTTGTTTGTACGACCTGCCTGTGACGTGACGGGAGTGACAACTGATGGACAGAATGAATGGCATGACCCCTCCAACTGCTTCCCCCGGACTAGTACAAGTTCAGGCCAGTTCAGGCCAGTTCAGGCCACCCAGTTCAGGCCAAAAGTTCAGGCCATTTCAGGCCCGTCCAGGGCACTCCAGGTCACACCACTTCAGCCCTTCAGGTCACTTCAAGTCACGGACGGCAACTCGCACTTTCCCCTCTGCCAAGCTTCCATTCAAACGGCAGCTGAATTCGCCCTTGTCTTGTGGCTTCTCTTGTCCTGTCCCTCGCCCCTTCTTTTTCTTCTTTCCTGTTTTCCTTTTTCTGTCCCTCCAGGTTTTTTTGTCCCTCCTCTTTTCTGCTGCTTATGCAATCCTTGCTGCGGGCGCAGACGCCAACCATCCATTCCTCGCTGCAACCTCGATATGCCAGCAACCGCCTGCAATCAAACTCCGAGACATAATCTGCCCTCGACCTCGACCCTGCCCTGACCCCGGACCCCGGTGCCTTTTAACTCTATCGGATCTGCCTTTCTTATCTTTCTTCTAGACTTTTCATCATCTCGACTATGTAAAGCCCAACCCGCTAGGTCAAGCGACTTAACTCGTGCGTCGGCCCGACGCGCACACATATCCAGCTTCACTTGAAGACTGCCCCTACAAACGGCATCTCGCCTCTCCATCACCACCAAACATGCCGTCATCCAACACAAAGGCCCGAGCTGCCGCACTGGCACCATCAATACACCCCAGAATCACCCATCATCGCCCGCCCTCCTCCTCCTCTCACAGCCCTGCCGCCTCTCCCCACGTCGACATCCGCATCACCAACCACTACGCCGCCAAGGTCTACACCACCGGCGCCGTCATCACCGGCGAGGCCGTCCTACGCACCGCCCGCGACCTCCGCTTCGACCGCGTCGCCCTACAGCTCGTCGGCCTCGCCGCCACCCGCAACTACATGGCCCCCGAGGTCGGCCAGGTCCTGCACCGCTTCCTGCTCCTCGACATGCCCGCCGCCGACCTCGCCGCCGCCCTGCCCGCCGACCGCGTCCTCCGCGCCGGCCGCCCCTACGCCCTGCCCTTCCGCTTCGTCGTGCCCCGCCGGCTACCGCTCGGCGCCTGCGCGTCGGCGCGCCGCTGCGAGCACCCGGCCGTTAGGGAGCACCACCTGCGGCTGCCGCCGTCCGTAGGCGGTGCGGACGCGGCGGCCGTTTGGGGAGGTCGCGATGACGGGAGTCCGGAGACGGCCCGCGTGCGGTACTGCGTGTGCGTGGCAGTCCTGCAGAGGTCTTTCGGCTGGGCCCCGGATCTGGTACCGGTGCTGCGCGCACACCGTGAGGTCAACGTCCTGCCGGCGTACGCCGAGGACCCCCCGCTGGATATCCAGTCGGGCGGTGACAAGGCCGGCGAGTACAGGCTCGCGGCGTCCAAGACGCTGCGCAGGTCGCTGGTGACGCGGAGGCTGGGCGTCGTGGCCGTCGAGGCGGCGCAGCCCCCCGCCGCGGTCCTCTCCCCCGACGCGCGACGAGCGCAATCGCCAGTGCGCGTCGTGCTGAAGCTCCGATTCCGGCCCGCCGCTGAGCCAGACGAGGCGGTGGCGCCGCTGCTACCTGCCGTGCACGCGGTCGCGGCGAAGCTCGTCGCCCGGACATACTACAGCACCTCGCACATGGGCGCCTTCCCGGACCGCGAGCGGAAGGCCGAGCTCAACCACGGCCCGTCGCTGCACTACTCGGACACGAGCCGGGTGGCGAGCGCGCAGCTTGCCTGGGTCGAGGGCTGGCGGCAGGTGGCGGCGGCGGGCGAGTCGGTGGCGGCGCTGGATGCCGTCTTCGAACTCCCCGTGGACGACAGGAAGATGCTGCTGCCGACGTTTCACAGCTGCTTGCTGTCGCGGACGTACACGCTGCGGCTCGTGCTGACAGTCGGGCCCGGGCGGACGCGCATCTCGCTGTCGCTGCCTCTGCAGATTATTGTTGAGGGTGGTCTGTCCAAGTCTTGCGAGGACGTCCCTGAATGCGGGGAGGTGGATGATGTTGCGTTACCGAGGTACAAGGACCATCTGTTTGTGCAACACCACTACGATGAGTGTGATACGCATATACCTCTTGGCATTGGTTTAATCATGTAAATAAAGCGTTTGTCATCTTTTGCATCTACTATGCGCGTAAAGCAAATCTGCATGCGAGAAGCGAATTCTATCAACCCCATCTATGACCCACCCACGTACTTGATTCAACGCGAGTCAACCATAGCCTGGACTGGTGAGGAAAGAAGTTGCCGTCAATGCCCCGGAGATGCTGGCAAGGGCACAGTCACGATCCACAGGGAAGGGGTTTCAATAGTTCCCGGTCTAGCGTCGTCTTGCCGCCGCGGACACCCGGGCTCCGATCACGAGACTACCCTTGCTGCTGACTTTCCCATCAGATTAGGACTGCAAGGTGATTGTGCCGTATAGGAAAGAAGACAGCGGTACCCGAGACCGAGGAACGAATGGAACTACGCCAGTGTGAAAGTAGAGACACGGCACGGTCCAATGACGTCGACGAACTGACCGCCAGCCATGTCCTGCAAGAACGCAACATAGAGTTTGACGGACGGGCATCAAAGCCACTGGCCTCTCCGCTTTCCATGGCACTTGTCAAACTAACAGACTGTGGGGCTGGTAGTTACGGGATTCCCAAGGTCCGGACCAGAGCTATCTGAGCCCCCAGTACAAGCTCCGCCTCAGTAGCGAGAACCAGCAGAAAGAGACTGGTGCATAATTTTCCTCTCTTCATCATCTTGCAACTTTTTTGCCTTGGTCGCCAGTTCTAGCGCCGTCAATCTCTTGTGAATAGATGCCGGATCGCACGAGCCGGATCTGACAAGCAAGCCGCGTTTTGCCAATCTCCGGGTCCCGGGCTTGGCGCGCCGCCGCCACCCGAAGCCACACCGACAAGACCGACCCCCCCGGGAAAAAAAAAAAAAGAGGCAACATCATGAGCGAGCCGCCGACGAGCCCAACCGAGGCGGCGCGCCCCAAGGCGAGGCGCAACATCTCCTTTGCCCACGTCAACTGGACCCCGCGGGGCGGCACGAATCCCCGGAGCAGCAGCAGGAGCCGGCCGTCCGGCGGCCTTCGCAGCATCTCCTTTGCGCACCCGCAGCGCAGCAGGCACGCCACCGCGCCGGTCCGGCCGGGGACTGCGACCGGCGCCGGCCGACCGGGCGTGCCGCCCCGCGCGCTGTCCTTTTGCGACACGCGCTTCACCCCGTCCGGGCCGAACCTGGCGCTCCGCCAGGGCAGCGTGTCCGGCCCCTTCGCGTTCCTGAACCCGACGACGGCCATCTTCGACATTCGCACCGACGACGGGCTGTCGGAGGCGGGCGAGGGTGGCGGCGAGAGGGCGCGGATCCGCTGGAACGCGCGCGAGTTTCGAAAGGGTATGTCTTGTCCTTCACCTTGTCTCTTCTCCTTCTTGCCCTTCTTTCCGGTTCAAGGACTGACACCCACAGGCCGCCACATCTTCGTCCTCCCCCGCGCCGCGCCGCTCGCCCACCGCCTGCGCAACACCTCCAAGCTCAAGCGCGTGCTGCTCGGCATCTGGCGCATGGTCACCGTCTTCCCCTACTGGGACGTGTCGTGGCTGATCGGCGTGTGCTTCACCGTCGGCTGCGCGCTCTTCATCGCCTGCGGGCTGTTCTACTGGCTGCCCATCGCCTACCCCGAGACGGAGTTTGCGCACGAGGAGGACGTGGCGGGGGGCATCGTGTCGTTTGTCGGCGCCACGCTGTTCCAGGTGGGCGCGGTGCTGCTGATGCTCGAGTCGTGGAACGACCGCGCCGAGACTAAGTTTGGCGGCGCCGTCGAGGCCTTTTTCGGGGAGCGCTTCAGCTTTCGGCGGGGCGCGCGGCGCGGGCGCGTGAGCCACGACAAGGATGAAGAGGGCAGCGGCGCAGGCCTGGGTGGTGATGAGGAGAGCGGTCCGGCGGCGGGGCCCCCGGTGCCGGCGCGCACGGAGGGAGAAGCGCGCGGCCGGCGTGGAGGCGCCGGCGACCCGTTCGGAGAGCGCGAGTGGCAGTGGCTGCCGTCGTGGCACGACGTCCGGACGCACTACATCTACGAGATCGGCTTCCTGGCGTCGGCGACCATGTCGCTGGGCGCGACCATCTTCTACCTGTGCGGCATCCTCGCGCTGCCGGGCATCCACCTCTCGCAGGCGGCGAAATGGGGCGCCTACTACCTGCCGTACCTCGTCGGCGGCATCCTGTTCGCGCTGGCGTCGCTGCTGTACGTGCTGGAGACGCAGCCGGACTGGCACACGCCGCAGCCGCGCAAGATTGGCTGGCACGTCGGCGTGTTCAACCTCATCGGCGGCGTGGGGTGGACGCTGGCAGCGGCGTTTGGGTACTGCGGCGGCGCGCAGCACTGGTGCGCGTACCAGAGCGAGCTGTCGCTGATATGGGCGTCGGTGGCGTTTACGTTTGGAAGTGCGCTGCAGTGGTACGAGTCGCTGGACAAGTATGTCTTTGTGATTGAGGATTAGGGGGCGGTTGAAGCGACATGCCGTTTTACAGGCATCATCACTGTTGCGCATCACATGCCTGCCGTTTTGTCAGCCAGATTACAGGGAGAGTTTCCAATGCTATCCATCCTGGTTCAAATGTATTTGTCCGTAGCATCAAATGCATTCCTCTGCTCTAGTTATGTGGTGTGCCATTTGGGCGAGGTAGCCAGAGCTGCCCAACCCCCTAGCTTGGACATGATGCTCCGAGACTACATACACGACACTGGCCATTACATATTTCTACAACGCATTTTTATCAACATGATCTGAAGGTTTAAAATGGCGTCTTACTCCCTAAGTCTCCGAGTTGTGGAGCTGTCTAGTTAGTCCTCATCAGAATGGCTGCCTATTCGTCTGACAGCGCTACAAAGCAGGCTGTCAACTTGCCATCATCACAAACCAAAGGCATCTCAAGATACTCACACACACACTCTCTCTCAGTCAGCCAGTCACTCACTTATTCACACACTCACCACCCGCCATGGAAAAGGGCATCAAGGCTTTCGAGCACCAGGAATGGGTGTCCCAGCGCAAAGTCCCGCACACCATCGACGTCGTCGACCCCGACCCCTCCTGGCCCTCAACCTTCTCCTCCCTCTCCTCCTCCCTGCGCGCCACCCTCCCCCCGTCCTCCATCATTGCCATCCACCACGTCGGCTCGACCGCCGTCCCCGGCCTCGCCGCCAAGCCCGTCCTCGACGTCGACCTCATCCTCGCCCGCCCCGCAGACGAGTCCACCTACGTGCCCTTCCTCGAAGCCGCCGGCTGGCACTTTCTGTTCCGCCAGCCGCCGTGGTACGAGCACCGCCTCTTCGCGCAGTACCACCCCGTGTTCGTCAACCTGCACGTGTACGGGCCGGGCGAGCTGGAGCTCGAGTCGCGGAGGCACCGCGCGCTCAGGGACTGGCTGCGCAAGACGCCGGCAGACAGGGAGCTGTACGCGCGGGCGAAGCGCGAGGCGTCGGCGCGGGCCAAGGTCAACGACGAGGGCGTGGGCGAGTACACGGAGTACAAGGGCGACGCGATCCGGGAGATCATGGCGCGGGCCGAGGCGGATGCGGCCACGCAAGTCCAAAGCTGCGATGGCACGTCATAGCGGAATGTACCGTGGGTTGCCAAAAGTTTCCCGCGGTACTCGGCCTTTGAGGAGCCGGCCGAGATTGGCGTCGCGTCCACGGGGCCGTGCGGAGACATTATTGAGGCGCCGATCGATTACTACCCCTATCGATCCGAAGTGAACCACATCATTGACGAGGAGCAGATGCGCGCCCCGGCGGACGGCTGGAGGAAGGCAGAATGGCGCCCAGGGGGACTTACATCGCGGGTAGCGACCCGGATAACTATACTTTCTTATTTTGGTGGTAAGGTTTATCTGTATGTATCGCGCAACGCGTACCGAAACTGCAACTGGGACGCCAAGTTGGGAAATTACGTGGAAGAGTTCAGCGGCACCAAGGACGTGCGTTGGTCCTTGTCGTCAGCGGCACGACGGCAGCCTGGACATCGTCAGTTTCTTCTAGGTACCTTAGGTACAGACATACGTATGTATGTAGGTACATAGTATCGATGGTGACTACTCTAGACGCCGCCTATAAAGCCTCCGATGCATAGCTTGGCACATGTTGAATTGCTGGTCTACATATGCATTGATACGCCACGAAAGCTTGTTTAAACATTAACTATTAACAAACCATCCTTTGTTCGTATTTAAGCGTGAATCTGGAGCCAACGCGAGATGTGGCGGATGCTTAACGGCGAGTTCGCTAAAATTGTGGCTCGGTGGAGCGTTTTAGCAGCACTGTAGCGGGAAGCCCACTGTAAGCCGGCTATAAACCCACTGAAACCCCACTGAAATATTCGACAACAAGTCTCCCCGCCATGGGGCCGCCGTTTGAAAAGCCTGGGCGATTCGATTTCCATCTCCATTCCCTCCCTCCTCCATCTCTTCATCCTCAAATCAACAAAACGGCCATGTCACCATCCCTTCTTATCAGCATGGGCTTGGGACATCATGCGCCCAGGACCATAACCTCCATCCTTGTACGTACGTAAACAAGGCTTTGAGCCCCCCCTTACCCACCTTCTTGCGCTGGGCTTCTGCAGCTAGTTATCTCATCCGCTTCTTTCCTTCACTAATCGACTGCCCAGGTTTTCGCCTCACCGCGTCGATCATGCCTTGAGCTGTGCTGCTGGAGCCCCCGCCTGTGCCGCTGAGATGGCTGGCGGGCCGGGTTGGCCGACGGATGGGCACGGATTCTCTCCCAACCCGCCACAAGGCTGCAAGACCGAGGGGGCCAACCTTGAGACTGATGTTACACGTTGCGTCGGCAATCAGTGCAAAGGCCAACTCCGAGACAATGCCAGCTGTTTTGACGCCCTGTCAAGCCTCCGAGCCAGAACTAGGTTCCCAATTGGGGGACGGCGCGGACAGCCCGTTGTGATGCCTCGCCCGCTTCGTATCACCTCCAAAGTCTAGTTGGTACTGAGAAATCAACCCCCAACAGAATAGGGGCAGCGGTGCGGGCAGGCGAGAAATGACATTCGCACACCAGCCACCAGACATTTTGGACGATACTGCGTTATGCCGCCCCAGCTTGTTAGCATGACCAGGGTTCGGGTTTCCGCGCAGGAGCACTCCGTACCATTACCACCGTCACCGAGAACCTTTGTCTGCAAATCAACAGATCCAAGATTCTCCCACGTTGCCTTTCAATCTGCTGCATGCACCCATCAGACCGCACCGCGCAGCGGTAGCCTGCATAACCAACTTCCACACTATGTTCTCTATCCTTGTCTAGGGCCACATCCTTACAGTCGCGTTCCCAGCCTGCCAGGCCAGAGTGGAAGTCCAACTGCAGAGCCATGTTAGTCAAGAACATGATGCGGGGTAGTTTCGAGGATGTCACCGACCCAGTGAGGTAGCTGAGGATCCGCTGGCAGTTTTCAGGTGCGAATTCGGAGACCCAGTGATAGTGGGCACCGGCAATAGGGGCCATGCTAGACATTTCGGCTATGCTGAGAATGACGGGTATGTAGCCGATTAAGTACCAGACGTTGGACCAGATCATGCTAGGTATACCACCGTCGACCAATGCAGGAGTGGCAGCGAAAGGATTGAGAGACCAGGCGCAAGTCGCAATGGCAACAAACGAAATCATGGAAAAGAGACGATACTGGCGAATAAACTCTTGCTTGCGACCCATCCGCCGCATGTCACGTTTGTCGGCCGGCGTGGCGCGGTAGACTGAGTTCGTACCATCCTGGGATTCTTCATGGTCAGAGTAGATGCGCGACGTGGTCAACTCAACAACATACTCGCCCTTGTTGCCGAAGTGGTTTGTTGCAGCTGCACTCATGTTGGGAGGGGTTTATTGGGTCTGCGCTGAGCCGTTGTCATCAAGGTAGGCCCGTACAATGGTGCAGAGACGAAAGTTGAAAATCGCCACGGCCACCTACAAACAAAATACAAGGCTGAACTAGGGTCTGTTCCTTGTTGGTACCCTTATCCAGGACATTATTCGTCTCAACAACCCCAGCTACGTCGGCCAGAGCTGGCACGGCAGCCTCCTCGTCATTGCCGTCTCCTGCGGGACCGTCTCCATCAACATTTGGGGTTCGAGAATTATCCCTCATACCCAGAACGCCATCTTTGCGCTCTCGCTTGTTGCCTTTGTGGCTTTAATTGTACCCATATGGGCCAACGCCCCCTTGGCTGAATCCAAAGACGTCTGGGGCCACTGCGAGGATAAAGGCGGCTGGGGAAACCTTGGCCTCTCCGTCATGGTTGGCCAGCTCCCCGCGATCGGCGCGTTCCTGGGCATTGACACTGTACGTTGCTCACCTACTTCAAAAATCGCCACGTTGACTAATTCATCGTCAGGCTGCGCACATGTCTGAACAAGTTCGCCACGCAGGCGACGCCGTTCCCAAGGTCATGATGGCGGTTCTGTGTTTCAACTTTGTCCTGACCATGAATGCCATGGTAACGCTTGGCTATCACCTGCCCAATGTGCAAGAGGCTCTTGACGATGAGCCCAAACACCCCATGATCTATGTGCTCATGAAATCCATGTCGGTACCGTGAGTCACTGTCTTACTTGCCATTATCTGCCTCTTCCTGACCGTTGGCAATGTCTCGTATCTCGCTGCGGTCAGCCGCGACTTGTTCGCCTTTGCCCGCGATGATGGCCTGCCGTTCTTCGAGTGGCTGTCGAGGGTCGACCAGGCTCGCAAGATACCCACCAACGCATACATCTTCTGTGGCGTCTACGCCATAACATCGCTCGGCGCTGTATCGGTGCTTCAATGCTACTGTCTCAGCATCGGATGTCTTTTGTGGAGACGCATCTTTCATCCCAACACGTTCCTCGCTGCGCGCTTCTCGCTTGGCCGATGGGGTGTCCCTGTCAACTTGACCGCTGTGCTCTTTAGCTTCTGGTGCTTCTTCTGGTGCTTCTGTCCGCAAGCCAACCATCCAGACGCTGCCGGCTTCAACTGGTCGTCTCCAATATTTTCGGCCGTTATCATTGCCGCTATGATGTACTACTTTGTCGTCGGTCGCAAGAGATACGTCGGTCCTGTGGCACTGGTAGAGGGCGGCAAGAAGCATTTCTCTTGATATCTGGCAAGTTATCTTCACCGGAAACGCGCTCTCAGCAAGAACAGAGGTAGACCAAAACGAATACAGGGCGTGTACTTGCGCACGTGTGCCCTTGGCGAGGACATGGTCCAAGAGTAGATATGGCTTCTGGAAGGGCTGGAAGGGCTGAAAGGGCTGGAAGGGCTGGAAGGGCAGGGGTTGGCCACTTACACATCTGCCGGCTGTAAGTCACCGCAAGAGACGGCCGCTCACACGTTTGGTGGCTGAATACATGTCACAGTATCCTCATTTGCCTCGCTGTTATCAACTTATTGACAAGGGTAACACGTCCAACAGGCAAGACATGGGAAAGCAAACACGCCACTTGACTAGCTGCATCGTCGCTAAAGCAGATCGCTGAAGACCATACTCGTGAAGAGTCGGCGGCCCTGTCCGACGTTGGTGGCTTGACTTGGCATGTCCAAGTTCATCCGTTGTTGGCCGCCCTGAAAGGCTGGGGTGGCGCTCGGGAAATTGCCGTGCGGACAAGGAGCTACTCAATTCAGCGAGGTAGTTGACGAAAATACTTGGCGCCATGCCGTATACAATATACAATGCAGCCAGATCTTCCCCAAGGAGGAGGGGTTCTTGCCAAGGTTTCGCATCAAGGAATCAATTGCACGTTGCTGAGAGGCCCATCTCGGGACTGGACTCGGACAGGGAGGGGACTTGCAGACTCTGATTGGACAATTGTAGAAGAAGAGGGACAGGGGGAGACGGAGATTGCCGCACAATAGCCTGGTGTTTCTGTGAAGGAGCGAGGCCCGGCTGGATATGTAAGATGTCAAGTCATTCAGTCATTCTCGCCCTGGTTCATTGGCAGAGTTGATCGGTGGCGTTTTACTAATTGGTGCAGTTGGTGGACGGGTACTTTGAAGATTCAAAAGTCTGTTAAGTGCATTGGCACACTGGACTGCTGCGGTACCTGGGGCGGTGGTATCAGACTGCTCTTTTTTGGATACTTTAAGGTTCTAGTCATGGACACTTGATAGAATATGAGACTGAACTAGTGAGTTACCGCAGTCCGTAAAATCAAGTTGGCTATGCAACAGATTGTCTGGACCCTGCCGAGAGAAGGCTAGAGCGAGGCCAGGTTGACAAAGTCAATCAATCTCTCGCTATGTACGGAGTACTGTAGATTGATTTTCTTGGTGGCATCCGGGGTGGCGTTTTAGTGGCGTTAGTGGCTGGGTCCTGGTACCTTAGTTTTGCGGGTTCCAGCGTGGGCCTGCATGTATGTACCCCAGGCATGGGAATTGCGAGGGTACAGGCAACAATGAGCTTAGAAGACATCATCCGCGCCTATCAAAGCTTTCGAATCTGAATACTCCATTTCCAGCCTCGAGAAATCGGCCAAATGCGTCGCTATTCTTACCAACTAAGCCAGACTGCCTTTTAAGGAGGAGCAAAAGTGACATTAGACGTCCAACTCAGAGGTACCCTCAAGTAACTACCACTAACACGTCCAAAGAGCTCGTGTCCGAGGCCACAAAGCTAGAATTGATGGTTCGTAGGCGCCATGACGGGATGAAATAGTATATAAAAATGGGATATGCGGAAACATGGCAAAGCGAAAGTTTGAAAAAAATAATAATATTAAAAATATTAAAAATAAAAGAAGACGGCTACCTCAGAGTCTATATAAACCACCACTGTCGACGGGAAACGGACCCGACTTGATGCAAAGCAAATGTGTCAAGGGTATGTAATATTCTACATCTCCAGCTACAAACATACGTAAGTGTCTATCTGGAGAAAATTTGACAAAAAAAATGATCTGCCGCTCATTTCAAGGCACTGTCGCAGACCTCCCTCAGATGTGCCTTTGATAGTCTACTCATCATTGGATTTTGTCCTCAGACCGTAACAGAAGTGTTGAGCTCCTCATCGGGTACCCTCGAACCGACCTAACCTTTCTCATGTACCCTTTCTCCGAGAGTCGATATGGCAGGAAGGGGAAAGGGGAGAGGAATGGTTGGCATCGTGGCTCCCTTCCTCTTTTGCTGGGCAGGTGCGCGCCGCTGTGTGCGTGATGGACAAGTGCGGGCTGACTTGTCGACCTGGTAGGCAACGGACGGCGAGAGCCCCATGGGAACCAAGTACGCAGCCGGGGGGGAATTTCAAGAATGGCTAGAATAGCTTTGTGCATTGGTGCGTCAAAAGTTTGGCCACGATGAGAAACTGTCACAAGCCGTGACATGCCATGGGAACGATGATGACAAGGTTGCCTCACCAGGCATATACAACATGCAAGGCCGAGCACAAGGTGCTCAGTTCCTGCCATACGGGGGACCTTTACAATACAAGTCTGAGTTCCCTCCTGTAGTCTAAATAGTGCGGGCGGAAAACACTCCAATAGAAACACTCCGAAAGAGAGGCGGAACGCAACGAACATGTTTGAACAACGTGGATGCGGCCGGCCGTCTCCCTCTGCAAGTAGGTGGCTGCCCACGAGAATTCTGGATGAAGAAGTTTTTTTTTTTTAGTTTCGGGTTATAAATAAATTCTTGCATGCCCCCCGTGGGCTGTGTGTGTCTTGGGGGGCTCGCAGCCATCGCACATCACGAGACGACGAGGCAAATGCATATACATGCGTGTGCGGCATATGCAGGATAGCAGCCCGGGGGCCCAAGGATGATGCGAGTAACACTGGGAAATTTACGTACCCAGGACGGGCCGAAAAGCACATCTCTCTATTCAATGGCTGGTACCTCCACGCCCTCTGTGGTTACGAGGGAGCTGCTGTTGGGTCGAGGTCATGGATGTCCGGGCCAACCTGGGCCAAGTTGATGATGCCAAACTCTCGACATCAAACGGCCAACATGCTCCGGTTCCGAGGGCAGCGACGAGGTGGCGAGGGGCGTCACACACAGGGGGGAAGCAAGCAAGGCTCCAGTTCCAATTCCCACCCGCCCAGGCCTGTTGTCTCAGTCAGCCCGAACCGACCTGGGGCGACTTTCGCATGATCCCGATCCGCCGAAGGCGGGCGTTGTTCTCTCCTACGATGAAGTTGAGTGGGTTATATCTGTTGCCCTTCTCGCCATCTCCTTTTTTTTTTCCTTCGCCGTCTCTTGCCCATCTTTATCCTTCATCTTCCATTGCATCCAACCTCTTGCTTCCAGAGCCATCCTCCTCCCCTGGATCGAGGCCGGTCTTGTATTACGAGAACATGGCGCAAGCTCAGAGCACGTGGCTCGCCAGCGCCGCTGGCATCTTCTTCGGCTGGGCGTTCCTGTCCTACATTGTCCGCGTGTGGGCGCGGCTGCGCGTCAAGGCCTGGGGGATGGACGACTATGCCATCTCCGGGTCCTTGGTAAGAGGCACTGCATTGCCTGGCACCGACCCGGACTTGACTAACACGGAAGCAGCTCGTCGCTCTCATCCACCTCGTCTGTGTCGGCCACGCTCTGGGGCACGGATACGGCCAGCCTCTGGATCAACTTTCGGCATATGACGCGATGCAAGTAGAGATGGCAAGTTGATGCACACGCAGACAAGACGAGTGAAGCTGACCGAGATCGTAGGGTCTCTACCTCGCCCAATTATCCTACGTTGCCTCGATCGGTCTCTGCAGGCTGGCGGCGGCGCTCTTCCTCGCACACATCTCCCACCACTCCGGCCCGTTCAAAAAGTCGGCCCAGATGGCCGGCTTCGTCGCCGCGGCGTGGACCGTGGCGTCGGCGCTGGCCATTGGCATTCGCGGCGACGACGTCGCCCAGCCCTGGACCCTGCTTGACGGCTCTTCCGAGATGGTAAGCCAGCCATCCCATCTTCGTTGATGCAAAAGGCAAAACCCCGGCAAAGCTGACCTGCGTGAAAAAGTTTACGAGATGGCTCGTCATCGAGACGACGGGCATCATGATCGACCTAGCGCTGTGGGCGATTGCGGCCCGTCTCGTCTGCCGGATCCAGCTCAAGCTGTCGAAGCGCATCATGCTCGTATGCGCATTCGGCGCCGGATGCATACTGTACGACCCCTACCAACATACCCATCCCTAACCCTCTCTCTCTCACCCACTGACACACTTCCAGGGTCACGCCGTTCCTCATCGCCCGGCTCGTCCTGCTCCATCCGCGGGTGAGCACCGGCTCGGCGCGCGGCGTCACCATGGCGGACCTGATCACCGAGGCCTGCGTGCACCTCTCCGTGTTTGCCAGCTCTGCCACCTCCCTCAAGCCACTTCTCACCTCATACTGCCACACCCGGCTGCTGACGGTGGCGGCGGCGCCGGGCAAGGACTGGACGACGGCGTCGACGTCGGAGGGCGGGCTGCTGCTGCCCTCCAAGGACCGGACGGTGGCGGCGGACGGGCGCGACTCGCCATGCTGGTACCACCGCCCGGAGCCGGTGAGACCGGCCGTCCTGGCCGGTCACCGCGGCGGCGGCATCACCTGGCAGCGGCCGGCGCCGTACTGCGCCCAGTCGAACAACAGCAGCATCAGCAGCACTCGTTCGGCGCCACGCAGCAGCGGCGGCTTCGTCGCGGACTATCACCGCCTGCAGCAGGGCGGTGGCTGGAGGCGGGACTCGCTGACCGAGACGCTCCGGATCGGATGGGCGGGCGGCGGGAGGAGGGAGCGGCAGCCCTCGACGGCGTCGGACGACTCGGGGCCGATCATCATCCAGAACATGAGCGAGGTGCGGCTGCATGATGTGGAGGACGGGATGAGCGTGCGGTACGGGGAGGATGCGGCAAGTCTGCACTACATGGCGGAGGGAGAGGGGGGCATGTTCTAGATAGATTGCCCTGCTGTATATATTCATGATGAAAAAAACAAAAAAAAAACAAAAAAGTTTGCAATCTTTCTTCGTTATGCATTCGCTCGGAGAGATGAGGGCCACCCAAGCATCCAGTGAAACTCTCCAGATGCAAAAACCTACCTGTCGCCGAGCTCCCTCAGCAGACACGCTGCCGCAACCACCCGGAAGCTCTGCAACTCCTCCTCCCCCTCCTCCTCCTCCTCCTCATCCCTTCCTGGCTCTACCTTTGTCTTTGCACAGCCCACCACCAAACACGCCCACGCCAGCCTCAGCGCGTCATACTCCTCTCCATCCCCATCACTCTCGTCGTCGTCGTCGTCGTCGTCGTCGTCATCGCCGCTGTCATAGTCATGATACGCCACCGCACCGGCTCCTCCCTCCTCCGTCTTCTTCTTCGTGATGCCATCGTGGATCAGCTTGGCGATCCACGCCATGTGCCGGTCCGTCTCCTCCTTGAGCCTCATCGACGCCTCGCGCTGCTTCCGCGACTGGATGCCCTGCCTGTTGAGGACGGACCCGCAGAAGACCTCGGCCTCGGAGATGCGCCGCCGCGGGTTCTCGGAGAAGTGCCACATGTTGTCCCCGACGGAGTCCTCGTACCTTTTTTTCCATCTTCAGTGTCAGCTTGCCCGCGTGGGTGGTGAGAAAGAGAGAAAGGGTTCGACTCACAGCATTCGAATCTTGCGTGCCTCGGCGTGGTAGAGGGAGTAGTGGGTGGCGATGCCGCGCGCGGCGAGCTCGGCGCGGACGCGGCCCTTCAGTTGGTCCCACACGGACGGGCCGCCGGTCGGGACGGTGCGGTGGATGTCCTCGCTCCAGATCTTCTTCTCGTCGACGCCGCGGTACAGCCGCCCGAGGATCTTGTCGGACCGGTGGTAGCGCGGTTTGGTGAGGCCCATGTCGTCGCCGTCGCCGTCGTCGTCGTCCAGTATGTGGCTGATCTCGCCGAGGTCGTACAGGTGAACCGGAGGAGCCGGGGCGAGGCTGCTCATCGTGGTTAGGGCATTAGGATTCTCATGGTGACGTGGAACGGATGTAATACTTACAAGTCGGGGCGCGAGCGCGGCGGCCGCGGCATCTCGCGCCAGTCCACCGCGATGCCGGTCTTGGAGTAGTCGACCGCGGTGGAGTGCATCTCGGCCAGCCTGACGCAGTCGGCATCGCTCGTCCCGTCGGCGTGCACGTCGGCGAGAATCTGGTGCCTAGTGGCTATTAGCCCCAGGATGTCCGACTTCATGAAGTCGATGAAGAAGTTAGCAATGTCGTGGCGGGTCACCGGCCGGTCTAGGGACGGAGGCGTGACGCGGGCGTAGTCGGCCGGCTCAAAGGTCACTGGCGGACTGGCTCGGGGGTCCCATATCACGTTATACAGGTCCCCATCGAGATCCCCTCCGCTTAGCTGGCTAGGTAGGTCGCGGGACCCCTTCTGGCTAAAGACGACGCAGTTCCGCAGCTGGCGCAGAGGGTGGGACGGGGGCGGCGTCACCATCAGGGCGGCCTGGACGTCGCCTGGGTGCAGCGCCGGGGACCGCGTGACGATGACCGGGCCATCAGCAAGGGTGCCGTCCAGCCGCTCACCGCTCTTGCCGCGCGTCGCGTCGTGAGCGATGTACACTTCACCCTCCTTCAGGAACCCCGTCTCGTCCATGACCCCAAAGAGGGTCACACCCTTGGGCACCGGGATGCGCGCCCTGTACTTGAGCAGCCGCAGCTCGCGCAGCACCACGTGCTCGACGACCGACTTGAGAAACGTGTCGCGGCGATAGTCGATCCCCATCTTGTCCAGCTGCTTAATGAACGACGTCAGGCCGATCGAGCCGCCGACGTCCTGGTAGCGCAGAAAGGTGCTGGTGTTGAGCGCCGTGGCCGTGACGCCGCGCAGCAGGTCAAGCGCGTCGTCCTGCAGCGCCATGAACCACCCGTCGTCCGTCCCCATGTCCTCCAGGATCTTAATCACCTGGCGGTTCAGCACCAGGCGCAACGGCCGCGAGCCCACGTCGCAGATGCCGAGCTCTCGCAGGTCGCGGCTCGGGAACTTCATCATCGACTCCTTGCGCACGCGGATGACCCTGCCGCGCAGCCGCGCGTCCAGCACCAGCAGGCCCTTGAAGCCCGCCCAGCGGATCTGGAAGCACGTCGAGCCCGCCGCGCGCCGCGGCAGCGCCTTCCACAACTCCTCCGCCGCGCCGGGCGAGATGCTGCCCACACCGTCGCTGAAGACGCGGCTGCCGTCCGCCGACTTGACGTCCGGCACGTAGCGCACGGAAATGCCGGTGGCGAACAGGTCCACGGCAAAGGGCGTCTCGGAAAAGGCCTGGCCGATGCGGGCGGCGCACTTGGCCGGCACGCGGATCTCGCCAAAGTCGCCGAGCGCGGCGAGGATCGTGTCGCGGCTCTGGCGCTGCCCGTCGGCGGCGAGGAACGGCGCGAGGAACCAGGCCGAGTGCGAGCGCAGGGAGGAGTGCGAGAAGCCGAGGAAGGAGAAGAGCCGGCCGGCGATGCGGATCCCGCCGAGTAGCACCTCGCGGAACCGCTCGAAGACGGCGTCGTTGGACACCTTGGGGTTGAAGGAGAGGTCCTGCCCGTCCTCGTCGCAGAAGGAGACGCGCAGGAAGTAGTCGCCGTGGTCGGGGAACATGCGCAGCACCCGGTTCCGGGCCTCGGCGTCGGGGCCTTGGAGAGAGATGCGCGTCGGGGCCACCATGGCCTTGAAGACCCATGTCTGGTGCCTCGGCAGGCGGGGACCGTACACGCCGGACCTCGCCGCGTCCTGGCTGCGAAGATGCGCCTCTTCCCTGGTGACGTTTTCGATGAACGCCCTGGGATCGACCTCTGACGAGTCCGTGCCGGTGACAGGATACGGGATTGAGTGCTGGGACCGCTTCATGGCGTCTACCGTGAACGGCGGCGTGCTGCTCTTCCAAGCCGGATCTTTGGCTGTCCTCTCGATCATGTCGAGCACGCCGAGGCCGCCGTACGGATGCAGGTAGTTGTTCCAAACCAGCGACTGGACCTGGAAGAGGATCGCAAACGGAACGAGCCCGCTCCCCACGTCCCCGAGGCTCTGCAGCTTGCCCTCAAACACCTTCAGGCCCGTGGGATAGTCCTCCACGATAGGCATCGGGGACGAAGTCAGCGGCACGTTGTTGTGGCTGATGGCCAGGATGTCCTGCCGCCGAATGGCTCGGGCCGTTGCGGAGTAGTCGCCGGCGAGCGTCAGCCGATAGACCAGGCAGTGGGCAACGTACTTGGCATGGGCTGCCCACGAGGGGAAGCTCGTCTGACGCTCCCACCTGCTGCCTCCGTCGCCGCCCTGACTTGTCTGCTGGGCGAAGAACTTGGGCGGATCTTCGAGTATGAAGATGATGCCGCGTGATTTGTGGTCAAGCACGAGCTCCTGGATGGTGTGGACAGGCATGTCCATCCGACCGACGCCTTCATGGTGCACGGTGACGGACCGCAGGCCAAATTTAACGTAGCCTCCTCTGATGGGGTGCTGGATCTGTTGAATGTACTTCAACCCCATGTCCTCCTGGCCAAACACCATCTTGCCGCAGCTGACGTGCGTGACGGAGCATGAAATCTCCGGCGCTCGCTGGCTACCCCTGTCTGGCTTTCTCTGGCGCTCGTCGCGTTCGTGGCTCAGGTGGTTGATCGCCAGCGCATTCACCGCTCGCTTGCTCCTCTCTGCGCAGATGGGCGTGGAGAGGAGATGCAGGCGCGCAATGTATCGAGCGCCGGCGACAGGGAGGCGCGGCTTCGTGGAAGAAGACGACGACGGCTGGCGCTGGCCAGGAGGAGGAGGAGGAGGAGGAGCAGCAGCAGCAGCAGCAGCTTTCTGTTGGCTGTTGGAGGACTGCTGACTCTGGTCTGTCGGAGCTCTCGATTTGCCGTTGGACGACAGCTGGCCCTGGTCGGGCAGAGGAGCGGCTTTCAGCTGGCCGTGCGTTTTCAGAAACTTGGTGCCATCGGCCGCGTTGAGGAAGGTGACCCAGGCCATGGGCTTCCGCTTCGGCTTGTCGACGACCCAGTCGGCGATGCCAAGAGCGTTGACAAACGGCGCGAGAGCAGCCTTGAGGTTGTCCTCGGCCAGCGTTGCTGGGACGCCTCTCAGGAAGACCTCCATTTCTGCCACCCAGCAAGGCGAACTCCCGCGTACGCCCTACTCCAGAGGCAGACGAGGGGATGGATAAGAACTGCTGCGGGAAAATTTCATGCAGGGAGGCTGAGTGTAGAGAAAGTAAGAGTGTTGGAGTGTTGGAGTGCTGGAGGAGGGAGGCTGGTCTATGCATTATCTACCTATGCATGTACTGTATGCTATGGGCCCGGGTACGGACGGCAGTGAACAAGGCAAACTTTGCCATGGCCTGCTAAAGGGGTTGTGATAAAAGGGGCACGCATAATATGACATGCACGAAATGAGGTATTCTTACGATGAAAGAAAATGAAAGAAGAAGAAAAGCCAACCATGATCCAGATACACCTTCCCACTATGTAGCGGGTACAATGGAAGAAGCTTTATACAGAGCACTGTATTAGTTGGCTATACGGGTACAGGGCGTTGTATCCGCGCTTTACGCGCGTTGAACAGGTGTTGAAAAAGCTATTGTAATTATTAGAAAAAGATTTAAAGAAAACTGGGAAATTGTGCAAATACTTGGCTAAAATTATTACTATTCAAATACATTTTTCAGCCATCAACATGCATACAATAAGAGGTTGCTGCCTGAAGTCCCTGTCTATGCGGGGTAACACCATTGAGAACATGGCTGCACCTGCGGGCAAGATTGTCAGTGTTGAACGTCAAACGGAGCCTTATCTGGTCTGGTATTTCTATGGGCAAGGTTGTCTGTGAAAAGGAGTGATGAATATAGATTGATATCTTCCAAAACAGAGCTCTACGTGGTATTGCTAGTCATACAGTTCGTAATCAATAAGCCATGAATAATAAAACCAAAAACCACAACGAAAAGAAGAAACAAGGAAAAAGGCTCAGTCAGAGTAAAACGACGAATCGTCTGCAATCGTAGTCATGTCCACGGCCTCCATCTCGCCAAAGTGATCCTCCTTGACCGGCGACCCCAGGATCGAGCACGTCGTCAGCGTGCCCGCGCCCGACGACGCCGCGCCCGAGATGCTCGACCGCGCTCCCACCGAACCCACGCCGCCGACCCCCGACACGCTCGAGCTGTACCCGCCCAGCACCGAGCGCGCCATGATGCTCGACCGCGCGCCGCCGCTCGAGCTCGACACCGACCGCGGCCTTCCCCCGCCGCCGGGACCGCCCGTCATCGCCGAGTCGCGCCGCCGCCGCTCCGACTTTGGCGGGTGGTACTGCAGGTTACCCGTGCCGCTGAGGCAGTTCCGACGGTCATACAGTGAGCGCGCCCGCACGTACGGGTCGAGCTCCCAGAAGTTGGCCGTGAGCGCGGCGCAGACGCGGTCTCGCCGGCGGCCGACCTCGGCGGCGCGCGGGGTGCCCTGGGCGTTCATGACCCATTCCTTGGTGACGTCCTCGAACTGCTCGACGAGCATCTGGCGCTCGAGGAGGAGGTAGTTGCGGGTGATGGTGTTTTGCATCTTGAAGTTCTCGTCGGCCATGGGCTCCTCGTACTCGTAGGTGAAGGGGTCCTCGCCGCCGTGCTCGGCGAGCACCTGCGACGGGTGGATGTAGCGGAAGAGGTCCTTGCGGCCGCTGGTGAAGCGCACCTTGTCGGCAATGCTGGCGCTGACCCAGTGGCGGATGAGCTTCCAGAGGGCTGGTGGAGGCAAGGTTTGGTCAGCGATGATTGGGACTGGCTGATGCTGAACTGCCCGATGACGGAATGGAGAGCTTACCCTTGGTTCCGAATGGGGCCTTGTGGACGATGATGAGGCCGATGGATTCGGGATAGTACTGTTCGGCGCACTTGAGGATGAATTTGAGAGGCTCAAGATCAAAGTTCTTGAAGCGAAAGTGGCTCATGTCGAGGAAGATGGTCTAGCAAGTAAATTAGCACAACTCAAAACACAAATGACGTTGAAGAAGACGGTGCGTCAACTTACACCTGTTTCCACAGGCGGCCGCAGAGACAGCCGCGCCATCTCGAGCAAGTAGATGATGTACCGTTCCATGCTCTCCGGGCTGTGCTCGCCGGGCTTGTGCAGCCGCACGCGGACGTACGTCATCGGGCGGCCCTCCCTGTCGTTGCCGTGCAGGAAGCCCTTTCCTGAGCGCAGCAGCTTCATGAACTCGGCGCCGAGAACGCGCGCATGTCCCTGGCCGTTGCGCTCGTCCTCTGCCGCGCCGCCCTCGCCCAGCCTCAAGATGTCGTCGTCGATGGCCGCTTCCATGGTGCGCCAGTAGATGGTGCGCCCCATGCCTTTGCAGGCGGCGACCACGTCCCAGCCGCTGCGGCGCAGGAAGCGCAGGGCCAGCTCGTCCGGGTGCTCCTGCTTGACCGTGTGCAGCAGGGTGATGCGGAACATGTGCGGCGTCCAGTGGTCAAGCGCGTCAAGCGCGGCGGCCTCGAGCCGGTCCATGCTGCGCTCCTGGGTAGGCAGCAGCGAGAGCAGCTCGCGGACGAGCTCCGGGTTGCGCTGCGGGCCGACGGCGCCGCTTCTGCTGCCGGTCCGCTTGAGCTTCCTTCGCTGCGTAGCGGTGGCGGCCGCTCCGGGCTTCATGGCGGGAGGCACAAACTTGTCCTCGAGCGTGACGGCGTCCTGGAAGCTCTCGTCGGCCTCGCACATCTCGACGAACTTGTAGGCGATGGCCCAGAGCGCGCGCAGCCTGGCCTCCTGCGAGGGCGTCAGGTTCCCGATGTAGCCCGGCTTTCCCTTTCTGGGCGCGGCGGCGGGCGGCAGCGGAACATGGATGCTGGCGCCGTCAGCGGCGGCGGCGGTCTTGGTTGGTGTGGTGGGCGGCGTGGGCAGCGAGGCCGGGTAGTTGGTGAGGACTTGTGCCATGGCGAATGAGTTGGGAGATGAAGGGAGAATTAGGCCTCGCTAACAATCCAGTGCACCGGGTGGTTTTGCTGTCCTCGAGGGCATCAACTCGAAACAAGCCGAGGGGACGCGGGGGAACATGGGCATGGGCAGGGCCATGGCCTTATACCAGGGCAGAGCCTGTCCCGTCGCGACCGGGGTTTGGCCAACAGGCAGGGAGGCAGGCAATGGGCGAGTTCAGAAGCGTGAGAGCGCCACGACTTGTCGGTGCCGAGGCCTGATGGTTACATGGTGGATGGGCAACAGCGCGGGGAGGGGCTTGACAGTAACTACTGGTAACTAGTTAACAAGCCTCGATTGACAAGGATGCTCCGTCGTCCGGGCACGCTGGTTTGTCGCCCCAGGCCATGTGCGTTGCGGGGAGATGGAGATGCTGGGGAGGGGATCCGCGCTATCGAACCCGCAGCGCAGCGCAGCCGAGCTGGGGTTGGTGTTGATGAACCTTGGCGTGGAGAGGAAGATGGTGAGAAAATTGGATTTGCTTTGGCTGGGGAAGCCGAGATGCGGGGGTTTCGCCAAGCTAGAGCCAAAAGCCACAGCTAAAAGCCTATGTATGTATGTATGTATGTACTGTAGGTACCTAAAAAAGCCAAAGCCACAGCAGCGCCAGGCAAGCTCCCCGCACACACCTCCCGTCGCCAACTAGTTAAGTACGTACAGTAAGTAGTCCAGTCGTATGACTTTGAATAAGCCCAATCCCCCCACCCCGGCAAGAGTTCTTGCTCTCTAACTGTAGACTAACGTTAGTTAAACAGAAACAGAAACTAAATGCGCCTCTTTTTTCCCTGGTTCCCGTTGTCGCTGCACCGTTCCCGTTTTGCTGTGCTGTCCCAAGCGGATGCGGCTCAACTCTCAAAACCTCGGTCACATCTGATGCGACCTTGTTCTCCTCCAGCCCCCCCACACGATACCGCCATCTCGTCATGTCGTACTTGCATTGCCACTTGCTTCTTCCCCTCACAACCTCATTGCCTCTTGAATTTGATGCCCTTGCCCGCCACTGATCTTCTTGATGCGGGCCAATGCACGCACAATTGTCAAAGCGCAGCTGCGGGGTGTTTGTCCAGCCCCAGGCCAGGCCAAGGCCAGCGACAGTTATCGCCGACCCCGGCGAACCCGACTTCCAGCCTCGAGGAGAAAAATTGATCACTTCGAGAGCTTTGCGGGGAACGCACCCAATCACCATGGACATGATGGCAAGCCTTGAGTTGTGCATGACTGTCTGTGCTGGCCGCGTGAGCTCACAGACTTTTTCCTGGCCCTATGTGCATCATGACATCTTGATTTGATGCTCTGACCACTCTGGCCCTTCAATGCTCCATTGAAAATAGATGCGGCTCTCAAACGATGAGGGCCAGCAATTTCCAACAATTCTAAGATTATGGCTATAATTATTTGGCGCCAACCCAAACAAAATTCCTTGGCCACTGTCGGTTAGCGAGTAGGTAGGGAGTATGGTGTTGGGAGTAGGCTTTGTTCTTTGTTGGCCCGTACATACAATGGCGCCACCGCCCGCCACCGCCTGCATGGTATTAGCTCAACAATCGTCTCAAAAATTCCAGGCCTGTTTCGTGCCTGCGAGACATTTCCTGCCATAAAGTTGCGAGCGACAAGAGATCATCATCGCCATCATGGACCAGTGCCGGCGGGCATTGCGACGTCCTTGCAAGGCTTCTTGACGCCGGAATAGACGCCTCTCATATGGGCAGACGCGCCAGGTACTTGTCCAGGCACTCACTCATGGACAGCAAACAACTTGGTACAGCTCGAGCGCTGCCATTATGGCGGACGGATAGCGCTGACCCTGGCCCAGGAATAGGGTCATACCAAGGTTTGCAATGTGCTTCTGTGGGCAGGGCGTCTTCCTCACACCACCGTTTGTTGGATCCGAGCTTACAAAATTCTTTGCTGAGTAGGCTTTGTTGCCCTACAACCTCTACTCCAAGACATTCATTGCATTGTATTCAGCTCATAATCCCCTCTAAAATTTCTAAAATCAAGGCCTGCTTCCCTAGGTACAGTACATACAGTACACATAGCCGCATTGAGCCTGTAAAGCGCACTGTATCTGCCCCCACAGAACTTGCACAATACACTTGTTCGACCACAACACACATCACCAACATAGTCACTGTCTCTGCTGCGCCGGCAAACACGGCTGCAGCGAGCCTGATGGGCATCATTTTGCATCTGAAGTTGCCTTTTCAGCTTCTGATATGGGTGGCACTTGTTGAGCAGGTTTTCACTCGCCGAAGCCTGCAGTCGCTGTCGCTGTCGCTGTCGCATTCGTGCAGGATCAATTGAAAGTGTTTCGAGAATGAACAAGAAAGGAGGGGTAATACTTCAGCTGGCTCACGCCTCGCATATCCATCATGTCCATTCACGTATAAGATGAGTACTTCTAGATTTGATACCTGATCGTGAGAATCTTGTAAGCATGTAAGCACCACTACCACTACCACCACCGAGTACGGATACTGAGCATGGCTGACTTACCACGGCACCTTAATACCACCCTTTCTCGCACTCTATGCATCTCATCACAGCTTGCTCCTTTTCAGCAGAGCAGTCAAAGTGATAGGACGACTTGGTGGCCCGTTGGGCCGTGCTTCATTCCTTCCTATCGCATCCCGTTCCTATACCTTGGCCGCCATTCATTCATGGTCGTTTTCCCAACCCCTTGACGTCGCTCAACAAGTACGCCATCCAGAACATCCGCCGTCATGTTTCGCGGCCGTTTTTCTCGCCCGGCTCGGCCAGATGCCTCCATCCCACGCCCCAGCGTTCAAGCCGTGAGCGCCCCAGCTGCCATGCGGCCCAACACTGCTGGCCCGGGCGACATGGACGCCGACAGGACATCTGTCGAGGAACTCCACACAAGTACGGGAGTCGCCGATCGGAAAAGTCTTCTAGACGACTTCACAAAAGCAACCGCAGACTACCATCTCTGTCCGAATCGTGTACGGGCCGTCGCCAAAGACGACCTCCCTAGACTCCTCCCCAACCGCAAACTTAACTTCAGGATGCCCTCCACCACTACTGATGCAGGAGTTGACGACGCCAATGATCACAGCTCCCGCACTTTTGAATTCTGCGAGCAGTCTCAGCGGGACTTTACCGCGGTGCAACAGCGTCACGAGTGTCCGGACAAGGAAGGCTGCAAGCTGCTCGCTGGCCGCTTCAGCAGGGACCTTCTCGACCATGCCGCCATGGGCCGGCTTTCTACCGTCTGGGCTCTCGATGGGGTCACCATGCTCCAAGCTGCGCGACCGTACATGGCCATAAGCCACGTATGGTCCGACGGCACAGGAATCGGCGCGTGGAAAGCCGGCCAAGTAAACGAGTGCCTCTACCGCTCGCACCCAGCACATGCAGCTTCAGGATCCGCGGGCGCTGTTGTCGCTAGCCGTAGAGTGCGGCCACGCGGCTGCTGTCGAGTTGCTACTCGACGGTGGTGGTGCCAGCGCAGTGCATGACCAGAGGCAGCTGCATCTGGCCGCCAGGCTTAGCAAGGACAAGATTACCAGGGTTCTGCTTTCCAAGGGCGCTTACTGTGACGGCCTGGTTGACGGATGCTCACCGCTAAGCGTGGCTGCCGAGGCCGGACAGGTTACATTGGTCAAGCTTCTTCTGGATCACGGCGCGGGCATCGACTTGCCGGCCGAGGACTATTTTCAGAAAAACGCCACTGGCATGCGCTGCTGCCAATGGGAAGCTCGCAGCCGCGGAAATCTTGCTCCAGAGAAAGGCTGCCATTGAAGGCTGCAACCAGTCAGCAACACCGCTCTGCCATGCTTCTGAGAACGAGCATGAGGCAGTGGTTTACCTGCTGATGGAAGAATGCGCCGCGATTGAAACCCCGCCCGCCGACTACACCAAGTACGGCCACGAGAACAAGGGAGAACAAGGCACACCACTCGCCTTGGCCGCCCGAGGTGGCCACTGGCCACTTGACCATTATGAAGATGCTTCTACGCAGAGGAGCAAGAGTTTCTGGATACAATGTGCAAGCTTCACCTTACGGTTCTTCCTACGGTCTCCCACTATGCATGGCCGCTGAGAGAGGGCAGGTTGGGGCCGTGGAACTGCTCATATGCAACGGGGCAAAAGAGCATCTGCCAGGCGCTCATGGATTCGCTGGCCGCAATTATCAGTCCTGGTTGGTAACAGCCACCAGCTGCGGAGGATGTCACTATCCGCCACCTATGGGTCGGGCCATCCTGAACCGCCATGCTCCAGTAGTCGAACTCCTGCTGAAAAAAGGTGCCGCCAAAGATGCCGAGTATACTGTTCAGTCTGCCGTTGGAATGGCTGTTTTCTCAGAGCAGCACGACATCACCGAGCTTTTACTCGGTAAGAAGGGCGCTTCGGTTGACGCATTCAGACTTTTTCCATCCCCTTCCAATTCCGATAGTCTACCCGCTGTTACATCTGGCTTTTCCCAGGTTGGCGCCCGCGAGATTGCAGGACTGTTGGTCAGTCGAGGCGCAAAAACGTCAACATGACCAACGATGTCGGCACCCCCGGCTCTGGACATAGCATGTCAGAAGGGGCATGGCAGAATAGCAAAGGTTTTGCTTGAAAACGGCGCTGAGCCCGGAGGCTGCAGCTCGTTTGCGCGAGCCTGCGGCGATGCTATCGAGCGAGGATACTACGACATCGCTGAGCTGCTCGCAAGCAAGGTCAACGCCAACGACGTCGACGTCAAGTCTCTGCACCCGAAAGTGACGCAATCGATGGTCAGGGAGAGGCCGCGCTATTTTGGGCTGCTAATGCCTTCAGGCCCAGGAGGAGCATGCTGACCTTCCTCCTCGACCGCGGGGCTGAGGCCTTGACGCGGGTCAAGGGCAGAGCGGCGGGCCGTTGTTCCCCGGCCATCCGCCGTCAAAATTGTGAAATGGTCGAGTTTCTGCTGCAGAAAGGCGCCGATTTCAACCGGCCAACAGCGGACGGTCACACAGCAGCCGGCCTTGCCGTCTCCGTAGGCCACCCTGCTATCTGTAGGCTTCTACAGCGCCATGGGGCTGATCTTGATGCTGCTGCAATCACTCCAAAGGCTGATGTCATGGCTTTAGCTAGGGCACAAGGTGGAAATATGCCAGACCTTGGAGAGGGGCTTCGTGAAAAATGGTTTCACACGTAGTTATTGATGATGTAAAATTGAGGGTAAATGTTGGAGATTTGTAGGTCAGAGTCGCCTTCCTTGCTGGGGGGGAACGGGGGGCATTATGCCTGACAACTATACCGAGCCGAGTGAATATACCTATGAGTATCTGTGCTCGATTCGATGTTTCGTTTTACAAGCCTATTCATGTACACAGTGCCTCTAGTAGCATCTTTTCGTTTCTTGCTCAGTCCACACTCTCTCACAACTCGCCACGGAGACGCATTAAAAAAAAAAGTCGCCCCGAACGAGGCAAGCAACCTCGGATAGCCAGCCATGTCACTGTTAGAGACGCCTCCGATAGACGATGCCAAGCAAAGAAAAAAGCCGCTTTCAGCGAGGAACTTGACGGGCCCTCAATAACCATAGTTGAGTGTTTTCATTTGACGCTCTAATCAGCCGCCCATACCGGAACCGAAAGCCATCTTGTCACCAGTCTGGGAGTTTGGCCGTCATGCCGCTAGCTGCGTTTGAAAGCCCGGAGTGGCGTTGCCATTTTCATCATGTATATTCGGGAGAACTGTTTCCTTGACGTGAAGAAACACCAGCATTTATGCACAATGCTCCGCGTTTAGTAGCCTCTTTCAATTTGGCCTTCATTTCCAGTGTTCTGGTACTGAGGCAAAGGCGCTCATGTAATTGCCCCCGTTGACTACTTCAAAACGGCACTTGATCTTCCGCATTTCAAACGCGGGACGTACGACATCCTTGAATGGTAACTGTTCCAAGGGAGACCAGGTTGCAAACCTGACCTGTGCCAAGTTGGGAAACTGCCGCGGCGCAGCTTGGGCCAAAGCCAGGAGGTCCGCCTCGTCCGACTCCTGTACGTCTTCCAGGTAAAGGCTCCTTATCGATCTTGGGAGAAACTGTGCCAATTTCCTTTCCGCATGAAGATGGTCCGGACCATCCGCCTCTTCAAGAGCCGCATAAATGAACGACGTCGGCAGTGTGAGACTTTCTAGCACCTCCATCTGGGCAAGACTCTTCAGTACTTCGTTGGGTGGTCTTCTGACACTTGTGAAGCTGCTCGCCCTTCTCGTAAGCCAAATGTGCTTCCCAAGCTCAACATGGCTCAGTGTTTTACGTAGAGCAAGGAGCGCTTCAAAGATGACCGGCGGGGCTGCCTTGTCAGGCATGCGGGAGATGGTTGGTCCGACGTCTACATAAGTAAAGCGCTCCAGGTTCGGAAACACTCTTGGGAGACGTTCCATCTCTGTGCTACTCAACCGGCTACGCCCAAGCACGACCTGCTTGACGTATGGGTACGCGGTCTCCGGGAGCTGATCAATACCCCAGCCAAACAATCGTCTCACCCTAGGGGCAGCATGCGGCAGCATGCCAATTGCTTTGTCAAATGCTGTTGCCGGATCTGTGCTTGCGTTCTGGACTGAGAATGTCTCGAGGAGCGGGAAATAGTCGGCTTGAAAGTCGGCAGGGATGTATTCCGGCGGGGATCCAAACATCCTGTTGGATCTGGATAAGAGGATGACGCTTGTGATGTTGGGAGTAAGGGTAAGGGCGACACAGACCAAAGATTCGCTGATGCTTTGGTATTCCATGCGATCTCCAGCCACCACCTTGGATAGAGGGGCAGCAGCGGTCATTTTGAGTCCCCTTCTCAGGACATGATTAAAGAGCGCAGCTTCTTCGGTCGAAATGATGATTTCAGATTCCCGATAGCCCTTGGGGAAAAGCGATGCGCTGATAATGATTCTCTTCACCCGTTTTGCAATCTCGGGTCGGGCGATCAAAGTGCGGATAATGCAGAGGCTGCGACGTAAGTTGGCGCCAGTCTTAATGCTGCAAATATCATACAGCCTCGGGACGCAAATGTCCCGAAAAACTGTGCAGGTTTGTGCCAGCCTGTAAAGGCTGATGTCGGGCTTGAACCCATCACTAAACTTGTCAAAATCTGCCTGGGAAGGGGCTAGGTGGTCAACCATGGCCACCAAAATCTCCGGAGGCAGGGAGAGAAGCTGAAGAGGCATGGCGTAACGAGGTTGTGGCAATTCGAAGATTTAGGTGAGGTCTCGGGGATGCTTGGTGATGCTTGTGTGTTTGCTGTGATGAAAGCCCACTCGCGAATGTGACTGCCTACATAAATGGTCCGAGACAAATTCACTCGAGAGTAAGGCAGCAAACGGCAGTTCACTCTCAGTCTATCAAAAGGGGCAAGAAAAAAAAGGCTGGACGAGGCGAGAATGCACGAGGGTGCCTTTCTGCTGCCTGATATCTGTCGTCGTTTCTCAGAGCAAAGCACGACAAAAGCTTCGCCTTTTTCTATGTACAGTGAATGAAGTCGTTCGTGGCCGCGAGGTGCCGAGGGCTGGAGCCTAGCATTGTGCGTTTGTCATGTGTTTGTCCAGGTTCAAAGATCGAGCCTTTGACGAGCCTTTGAGTCGCGACAGCGTGGAGAACTATTCCTGGCTGTTTCTTGCAGGCCGCGGCCAGGCAGCAATTAATGATATTGGGCATTATAGAAGGAGCAAGCGGGAGGGGCATGATAACGTCGCTTCATGTCCGATTATGTAATCGGAGAGTTGGCCGCCACGACGCGGTGTGATGCTGGTCCTCGAACCTCGAAGGCAGGCGATTGAAGAAATAAACAAGACATTGCCAGTGAAATTGGGGAATGTTTCTGTGACGGACATTTGCGAAACTGGTAAAAAAGGCGGAAATAAAGAAATAGTAGCCGTCTGCCAGAGTCGAAGCAAAGTCCGCTTACAAAGAAAACCTTTTTGTATGAATGCACAAGGAAAAAGCATCAACCCTGCGCATGCTCTCATACCTCTCGGTGTGGGCGATCACGTCTACTTCGTGGAAAGCAGACAGCAATGACGGGCTATGTCCATCACCCCCGGCCAGCCCATCGTCATGCTCTCCGCCTTCCCAAGCAGGCAGCGCTTCTCGGTCCCCTGAAGGCCGGCGCTCGCTAAAAATCGACAACCACTGCCGGCATGTTTATTACGAACAAACCCCATGATGCTGCAGCGCCGAGCCAATCACGCTCTTCAAAGTTCCTTTTACGTGGGAAGTCAGCCAGCCCGTTCGGACAGGCGACTAGTCCGAACGTCGATGGCAACGGCGCCGTCCCGCGCCGTGCCCCGCGCCAGCATCGGACAGCGAGAAGATCGCGAGCGGGTTGGCGCAAGGTTTTTTTCAGGCAGCCTCGATCGCAGCGGTTTTACGATGGGGCAGGCCCGTCATTCGTTTAGCGAGCCCAGCTAGATTGGGAAAAAGTTGGTCAGACGATTTAAAGGTCCTCGGACGCGGGCTAGCCCGCCGGTAGTACGGGTTCGTCGGGGAGCCATCGGGTAACCCAGAGTTGGTGGGTGTGAGTGCAGGATGAGGTGCAGCATAACCTATACCCGGATGTGAATAATATCCCATCAATATAAATGGCTCTGCTCTCCTGCTCTGAGAGAGAGGTATATGCTCAGTATAGCAATCACTTTAATCATGGCGAACCAAACCTTGCTCCTTTCCAGTTCAGTGGGCTCTTTTGCCCAGGCGAATGCTACTGCAACTACAGCAGCAGCACTCGTCTTTGCATTTCTTCTCGTCAGTCCTGCCTCAAGACTTTGTTTCACATATGACTTTACTCACACATAGTTGTCAAGATGACTGTTTCAACGCTGCGCAAAACAACATCCCGGATCCCCGGCCCGTGGTACACCAAATGGACCAGCCTCGTGCTCAAGTACTACTGGATCAGAGGGGAGAAGAGCATATACGTGCACTCCTTGCATAAGAAATACGGTACGAACCCAGGCCGGCGACCCCTAGCACACACACACCGTCCGCAGATTCTGACACAAGCCTCGCAGGTCGCATCGTCCGCATCGGCCCCGACGAGGTCTCCGTCTGCGACATTGACGCCCTCAAGGCCATATACTCAGTCAAGGAGACGTTCCGCAAGACACCCTGGTACCGCGACTTCGTAGCCGGCATCGAGAACATATTCAGCACGGGCGACCTCGACTTCCACCGCAAGTCTCGCCGCCTGCTCGCCGGGCCCATGGCCGACTCGGCCATCAACGAGCTGGCCCCGCGCGTCGGCGGCCACGTCGACCTCACCATCCAGCAGATGAAGGCCGAGAGCGAGACGCGCAAGGCCGTCGACGTCTGGAAATGGTGGCTGTTCATGACTACTGACATTATTGTCGAGTTTACCTTTGGCGAGTCTTTCCACATGCTGCAGCACGGCAAGGTACGACCATTCGCCCTTCATGGCATCCTCCGAGTCCAACTAACCGCCTTGGTTTTGCAGGAGAATGAATATAGCTACTTTTTGAAAAACTCGGGCATCTTCGGCATCTACCGCTCCGTCATGCCGCGCATCACGCAGCTCATGTCCCTGCTCCCGCTGCGCAGCAGCAAGACGGCCGCCCGGGCCGTCGCCACCATGGCCCAGGCCGCCTCCGACGGCCTCGCCATCCACCAGAAGCTCGTCGAGGAGAACGGCACCGACAACGTGCGCCGCACCTTCTTCACCACGCTCTTCGCCGCCGAGGACGGCAGCACCGAGGTCTCCCAACGGCGGCTCGTCGGCGATGGCCAGGCCTTCATCATCGCCGGCAGCGACACGACCGCCAACACGCTCACCTACGCGGTATGGGCGCTGGCGCGCGACACGTCGCTGCGGGAGGCACTGCTCGCGGAGCTGCGCGCCCTGCCGGAGGGGTGGGCGGACGCGGACCTGCGCCGCTGCGGGCTGCTGGGCCGTGTCATCAAGGAGACGCTGAGGGTGCACGGGGTGGTGCCGGAGGGCTTGCCGCGGGTGGTGCCGCCGGGGGGCGCGGCGTTGTGCGGGTTCCGCCTGGACGGCGGCACGGTGGTCAGCGCGCAGTCGTACAGCATGCACCGCGACCCGGCCGTGTTCGACCGCCCGGACGAGTTTGACCCGTCGCGCTGGGTCGAGCCCACCAAGGAGATGACGGACTCGTTCATGGCCTTTGGGCGCGGTTCTCGAGGTGAGATACGTCTCCTGCTTCCAAGTGTCAGTTTCCTTTCTGACAATTTTTATAGTCTGCATCGGTCAGCATCTGGCTCAGACGGAGCTTCGTATGGGCCTCGCCCGCTTCTTCCTCACTTTTCCCAACGCGCGCGCGTCAACCCGCGAGGGCATGTCTGATGAGGACATGGTTGAGTCGTCGTACTTCATCATGTCGCCAAAGGGCCACCGCTGCTTGATTGAGGTGGACTAGTGGGCGTGCGGGAGGGTGGTGGACGGAGACGCTGCTTGTTTGGTATCGTAACGCATGGCCAACTAGGAGGGCTTAAGGCAAACTTGTGTACTGGGATTTATTTTTTTTTTTGGCAATTCTTCGTATGCATAAGGCCTTTGAAGTTTGTCGGCTTCAGTATGAAGGAATATTAGACAGCTATGTGCATTGATGAAGCAACAACAGCTTCCTCACTTGCCACGACGAGCCGCAGCTGAAACTGGTTGACGGATACATGGAGGGGCAATAATACATCTCAACTCCCTTCGTTCTTTGCTTGGCTTGTCCATCAGATTGGCTTCTGATAGGCTGTTGATAAATGCCGCCCTTGCCTCGTCGAGCACTGCCGCGACCCATAAACGACCGCTACGTCATCACTGCCGAGTACTGAATTACTGAATCTGCCGCTGTACGAGTCAATTCTGGACCCTGCAGAGTAACGCCCCCAGGAAAAAAAAAAAAAAAAAAAGACCGCAATTCTATTCTTATCCTTGGCGTGAAAACGCTAACAAAAAAATACCTGCAAGCCTCTCCGGGCAGCCTATCAGCGGCAGGTATCGTGGGCGGTTTGATGTCATCGCGTAGCAGCGACCAGCCAGCGGAGCGTGAACCCCGCGGTGGGGCAGCCCGAAAGCGTTGATTCCCGGGGCGACAAACGCAGGCACATGCGATTTTTCAACATCACCAGTACTTATACTACCTTTCTTCCTGCCGGGTACTGCTTTGATTCCCGCAACTCTTCTTCTCTCGCTCTCCCATTACTCTTCTTTCTCGACCTCCCACCACCCAACAATGTCCCTCACAAACGCCTCCCCCGAGGCCGCCGCCCGCGAGGCCAAGGCCGCCTCCTTCACCCTCGCCGCTCTGCCCGCCGCCGCCCGCAACGAGGCGCTCGAGGCCATCCACGCCGCGCTCCAGGCCGCCGCCGACGGCTCGCTGAGCGCCGCGCTGGTCAGCCGCCTCGACCTCGGCCGCCCGGGCAAGTGGGAGGACATGCTCAAGGGCATCCTGGACGTCCGCGACCTGCCGGACCCGCTAGGCGCCGTGTCCATGCGCACCAAGCTCGACGACGACCTCGTCATGGAGCGCGTGTCGTGCCCGATCGGCGTGCTGCTCATCATCTTCGAGGCGCGGCCCGAGGTCATCGCCAACATTGCGAGTCTGGCCATCAAGTCTGGCAACGCTGCCATCCTCAAGGGTGCGTTTCTGTTATTCCCACCGCCACCGCTTTCTTCTTCTAACCCCCCCCGGCCCATTCTCCACAGGCGGTAAAGAATCCACAGAATCGTTCGTCGCCATCGCGCAGGTCATCTCCGCCGCGCTCGACACCACAAAGGTGCCCAACGGCGCCATCCAGCTCGTCACCACGCGCGACGCCATCGCCAGCCTGCTCGCCCAGGATCGCTCCATCGACCTTGTCATCCCGCGCGGCTCCAACGAGCTCGTCCGCCACATCAAGGAGAACACCAAGATCCCCGTGCTCGGCCACGCCGACGGCCTCTGCAGCATCTACCTGACCGCCACCGCCGACGCCGCCAAGGCCGCCACCGCCATCGTCGACGCCAAGACGAGCTACCCGGCCGCCTGCAACAGCGTCGAGACGCTGCTGGTCCAGGACACGGCACTGGCCACCACGTTCCCTGCCGTCGCGGCCGCACTCGTCGCCGCGGGTGTGGAGCTGCGCTGCGACGCCCCCAGCAAGGCCGCCGCCCTCACCAGCCCCGGCTCCGCCGGCAAGGTCGTCGACGCCGTCGACGCCGACTACGACACGGAGCACCTGTCGCTGACGCTGGCCGTGCGCACCGTCACCTCCGTCGACGAGGCGGTCGCGCACATCAACGCGCACGGCTCCGGCCACACCGAGTCCATCATGACGGCCGACGCCGCCGAGGCCGAGCGCTTCATGGACGGCGTCGACGCCGCCGGCGCGTACTGGAACGCGTCGACGCGCCTCGCCGACGGCATGCGCTACGGCTTCGGCACCGAGGTCGGCATCAGCACCAACAAGATCCACGCCCGCGGGCCCGTCGGCCTCGAGGGCCTGACCATCTACAAGTACAAGATCCGCGGCGACTACCAGGCCACGGCCGGCTACGGCGAGGGCGAAGGCCAGCGGAGGTTCAAGCACGAGAAGATGGCCGTGTAAGCGAGTGTCAATGGCGGATTCGAAAAAGCGAGGAAAGGGAAAATATCAAAAAGAAGCAAAAAAGAGACAAAAAAGACATGGAAAGGCATACCAGTTGCCACGTTGGATACCCTCATGCATACAATATTCAAACAAAGTTCATTACAAGACGAAAAGATTGCACATAAATTGAAGCTGACGTGATTCCTGACAATCCAGTACGTACCGTTAACATAAAGTACACATTTTCCCACATAATCAGACCAAGAAACAAGGCAGACATTACTTTGACCTCGAGAAGAAGAAAATGACCTCTCTTAATTCACAACTCCTCAACCCCCAACTCTATTGTCTTTAGTTATTCATGTCGTATTGCTTAATCATCTCCGCCAGCTTGTCGCCCTCAGACTTGAAGTCGAGGAATGACGCCGTCATCACCTGGTATCGTACTCTGCTCACAATTAGCTTCCATCATCCACGCAATCAAGTCTCTGGGGACTCACCTCTGCACTTCGCCGTAGTTGTCCATGCGGGCGCGGCATCGGAACTGCAGCTTCTTGCAGTTGACCGCCTCAAACGCCGCCATGAACTTGGCCTCGTCATTCTCCTTGAGCTCCATCATCTCGTCCGCCGACATGCCGACGATGGCACGGCCCGAATCGTCGAAGCAGCTGAGCCACTGGTGGCTCGTGTGGTCCGCGACGTTGAAGCTCAGCACGTAGCGGTACTCGGGCTTGTCGTGCGACAGGTTGCACTTTTCGCAGCGCCAGGTGCCGTCGCCCATGTCTTGGACCTTCTTGTTGCAGCCCTGCGACAGGCACGCGGGGTAGCAAAAGTTGTCCTGCTTGACAAAGACAATCGTCGCCTTGATCGTGTAGTACGCCTGGTCGTCGACGCCCAGGTTCTCCTCCTTGACCTGCGCAATCGTCTTGATCTCGTCCTTGCGGCCCGCAGCAGCGCCAACGCCAGCCAGGCCCTGGTGTGTAGCGAATGTGTCGTTGCGACCGGCGAAGTCGTACCAGCCCTTGAGTCGGTGGGCGTCGGGAATGTCGGGGTCGACAGAAATGGTACCCGATGAGAGTAGGCTAAGACTCTTGCCGCCAAAGTCAGACACTCTGGTGCCCTTGAAGGCGACGACAGACTCTGGCTGCGCATCGAACGAGCTGGCCGTCTTGCCCCAGATGGTAACGCGCACTGAGTATCCCGTGTCGTCAACCATGGTAAGCTCTCGCTTCTGGTAAGGCGCGCCAGTCTTTTTGGACACAATCTCGCTAATCTCGCCAGCCTCTTTGAGAACCCCAATAATGTCGACAGTGTTGTCCTTTTCGACGCTCTGCAGCTCTTGAATGGTGGAAAAGTTGAAGCGCACCTGGGGCACGTTGGTCTGGTCCTCAGCCTTTTCGATAACTGTGTCGCGCTCGAACGCCAGCTCGTAGTCGTTTGGCAGGTTGGAGAATTGCTTCTTGGCGAGGTTCACTCGGCAGGGCGTGGAAATGTAGTAGACGGAGCCTTCCTGGAGGAGCTCGTAAAAGGCGTCGCACTGGTCGTTGAAGCCAGTCGCCTTGATCTCGCCACTCTCATCGAGCAGGTTAACGCTAAACAGCTTGCCCTCGCCAGTCGCCTTGTGCCACGTCTTGATTTCTGACTTGGATGTGACGCGGGCTTTGATTGTCCACTTGTGAGAAAAAGGCGAGAGGCCCTCGATGGGGTAAATGTTGTTTCCAGCATGCATAGCTGGTCTGGAAGGCATCGTCTGTTGCTGGGGGGCAGGCTTCTCCTCCTTCTTAGCGCCGTAAAAGTCGTTGCCAGAAATGGTTGTCTCGGCGGCCTTGGCCTCGACGGCTGAGGGCTCTCCAATCTTGTCAAGGACGCCGTAGCTCTCAATGACTTCAAGGTCGAGAATGATGAGAATACTATTTGGTCAGTCGAGATTTTTTGGTCTGAAATTGCCCGGTGGTACTTACTTCTTTCCCTTGAGGTTGTTGGGTGTGTATTGCTTGACACGGGCGATGCAGCCGCGCACCAGCTTCTCCTCGTGGACAACATGGTTGGCTTGTGTCGCAAGCATGGTCTGGACGTAATTTTGACCATCGCTCATGACGAGGCGATATCTGTCACCACCTTGGGCGGAGGGCGCCATCTGCTTGATCTGCAAACATTGCATCGTCGGGACGGGGAACTGCTTGGCGGCCTTGTCGGGATCATTGAAGATGAGGCTGCGAGGTCAGAGATGAGATCACTATCCAGGGCAAATGAACATACTCCAAGGACCCCTTGGATAACGCAGATTCGGCATCCATTTTTGCTGTCTGTGATATCGTGTTGATGTTTGTGAGAAAATTGGACTGTCAGTGACGCAGCAGTTTGGGCGTGAAATCTGGCACTGCAAATCGGGAACCAGGTTCACATTGAGTGGACCGCGACGCGTTGAACGCGTTTAATGGAAATTCGCCCCTCAATGGCTGTTGCTATTGCTGTTGGCGGGGTTGCCAGTGGCTTATGTAACGACCAACAACACAAGTGCATTGCCACTTGCGAATTAAAAATAGGTTAAATTCTAAGTGGTAAATAGAGGTGTTTCACTGATAGATAGATTTCGTTGTGTCCAAGAATCATGAACTTATGGTGCAGGTGCTGCCTCCTGGTGCACCATTCATGGCACTTGCACCGCCCCATCTGCATGCAGCCTTGGCCACCTTGATGACAGCCAGTAGCCCCTCGTGGAACGGCGTTTGTGCATAACTCTGTACAAAGTCACCACTTTCCTACATATTATTTATAACCATGGCCGACGCCGAAAACGCGACAAGGGCGCCTGAGAGCGATGCCCAGGAGACAGTCGCCCCCGCCGCTGAAGCTCCCGCACCCGCTGCTGCCGCCCCCGTCACTGGCGAGCATTGCGTCACCGATCGACCTACTCGTGAGAGGGCCCGTCTAGCCCATTCCTCGGACCACTGCTAACCCTCTGGCGCAGCGTCTGGCCAGTCGTCCACCGGTGAAATCATCAAGCTCAACGACATCGACGTGCGAACCTCCCACCACCACCTCCCGTAGCCCTTTCGCTAACGCCTCCGCTTCCCCAGGTCTATATCTCCAAGCCGGCCGACTACCCGCACGCGCCCGCGCGGCTGCTGCTGCTGCTCACGGGCGGCACGGGCATCCAGTCCGTCAACAATCAGATCCAGGCCGACCGCTTCGCCGCCGAGGGCTTCCTCGTGCTGATGCCCGACATCTTCGGCGGGGACGCGGCGCCTGGCGCCGTCGCCATCGCCGACGACACCTCCTCGTGGCTCGAGCACATCAAGCTCAAGGCCGCCGAGGTGACCAAGTCGTTCGTCATCGACATGTGGCTCGCCCGCGTCACGCCCGACCGCGTGTTGCCCGTACTGCACCGCGTCCTCGACGCCGCCCGCGACCAGTACGCCGACGCCGTCAAGCACGGCGACGGCGTCTACGCCGTCGGCTACTGCGTCGGCGCGCGGTTTGTCCTGCTGCTCGGCAAGAAGACGACCACGCCGGCGGTGGACGAGGAGAGCGGCCCGACGACGGCCGGTCCGTACATCAAGGCCGGCGCGCTGGCGCACGCGGCGTCGGTCGCGCCCGAGGACTTTGACGACGTCTGCGTGCCGCTGAGCCTTGTCTGCGTCGAGGACGATCCGCTGTTCTCGGACGAGGTCCGCACGCTCGGCGAGGACGCCATGTCCAAGGCGAACCTGGAGCACGAGGTCCAGGTGTACCCGGGCGTACCACACGGTAAGACGGATGCTGCCCGGCTTTTCGCAATCATGCATGCTAACGGAGTGCAGGCTTCGCGGTTGTTGGCGAGTACGCAGAGGTCTCGATCAAGAATACGCAGGCGACCGCCTATGAGCAGATGCTGAAATGGGTCAAGGAGCACTAACATTACACGACTTGCCCTGCTCTACTTTGATGAACCTCTTTTTTTGCCTTGTCTACCTAGCGATAAACTCATGAATACGTATACAGACCTTGCTCTCCGCATACCAGATCAGAGACCAATCGTGCACACAATCTTACCCGAGTTCTTACCCTCTTCCATATGACGGTGCGCGTCCTGGATCTGCTCCCACGGCAGCACCGTGTCAATCACAATCTTGAGCTTGCCCGAGTCAAAATCGGGCAGGTACTGCTCTAGGCGGTCGCGCAGCTTCCCCTGGTACTCGACGTCGCGGCTGCGCAGCGTGCTGCCCTCGATGCGCAGCCGCTTGTAGAGGATGGCGCCGACGTTGACGTCCGGAGCCTGCGCGCCGCCCAGCGTGCCCAGCATGACGATGCGGCCGTCGCGCGCCGCCACGTCCAGGTTCTTGCTGAAGTAGCTGCCGCCGACAAAGTCGACGATGTAGTCGACGCCCTTGCCGCCCGTCACCTTCTTGACCTCGTCGGCCCAGTCCTGCGTCTTGTAGTTGAAGGCGGCCGTCGCGCCGACCGTGTCCACCACGTACCGGCACTTGTCGTCGGAGCCCGCCGTCGCGTAGACGGCCGAGGCGCCGGCCAGCCGCGACAGCTGGATGCCGGCCGTGGACACGCCCGAGGCGCCCGCGTGCCACAGGATCGACTTGCCCGCCGCGAAGCCCAGGACGGCGTGCAGCGCCTGCGTGGCGGTGATCCACGCCTCGGGCAGCGCGGCGGCCTGCTCAAAGGTGAGGTGCGCCGGCTTGTGCAGGAGCATCTTGGAGCTCACGGCGATGAACTCGGCGTACGCGCCGCCGTAGGCCAGGCCAAAGACCTCGTCGCCGACACAGAAGTCGCCGTGGTCGCCGGGCCCGAAGGACTCGACCACGCCGGAGAACTCGACGCCGAGCGTCGCGGGCGCCTGTGGCGGCAGCGGGTAGTTGCCGCGGCGCTGGATGATGTCCATGCGGTTGATGCCGAAGGCGCGGATCTTGACAATGACCTGGCCTTCCGCCGGCACGGGCTTGCGCGCCTCGGGGCTGATGTACAGGGCGTCGAGCTCGCCTTTGCCGCCTTTGATTTCTGTGGTCGTGGGGTTAACGCGGGGTGACGGGGCTCGAGACGATCGGGAGGCTCACCAACTGCTCTCATAGTGCCAGCCATCTTGACTTGTGATTGTGTGTGTATGAAAATGAGGCTCTTGGTATGTGAAACAGGAATTTTATTGTCCTAGGAATTGTAAAAGCATATTTACGATTTATGAACGAAAGGTGAGGTCATGGTCGTGGCAGGTTGTTGGATTAGTCATGGCCATCCACGCCAGTCCACGGAGACCACAAAAGAGATTACAAATGCAATGAACAGAGCGGCATCACCCGAGGCAGCGGGTTTTATCTTAAGAGCTCGAGTAAATTTCAATAGCCGAGAGCTGGAAGGCAGATCTTGATTCTTTTTGGCTCACTCGGCGTGTCATATCTCGCAGGAATCGCACGCGGGCGCACGACTCCAGCCGGCACATCCGGGTCTAGCAGTAAGTCCATGGAAGACTGGTTCGTCTCCCATATCAGAGCAAACATGCCCGACTTCTCATCGAGTTGAGGCTAAGGAGTGCTGAGCGCAGCCTCGCGCGCGTCCCGGTCGTCGTCCCGGTCGTCGTCCCGGTTGGCTCTCGCCTAGTCTAGCATGTCATTGCGTCCTGTCCAGAAGCACAGGCACAAGTTGGCAGGCGAGACCTGGGATGCAAGAGTTGGAGGAGCGCTGGCCAGCTCCACGTTGAGATGCAAAGCTGGTTATCTCCGCTTAGATGCAGTGCAGAGGGCTCGATGGCAGTCGAATGTGCATCTCTACTGCAGGTCGCGTGTCAAGTGGACGATCGTGGTCAAATCGTGAAGCCTCGAGGAGTCGGTGATTGTATGTCCGATGGCGGAGGCTAGCAGGAAGCAATGGTACGTAGGTACCTATGGATAGAAGTCGCTTACATTAGTGTATTCAGGCAGGATTCAGCATCGTTGGTGACAGTAGGAGCAATATTCGCATGTAGGAAGCAAGAAGCGAGATTAGGTTCAGGAGCGACTCTTGCAGCGAATTCCAGTCATGGTTCCATGAATCGATGAGAAAGACAGAGACAGCCAGCCAGGATGAGATATGACGGGGGCTGAGACGGAAAAGCGGCAGCCGAATTCGGCTGGAGAGGTTCTAGACTGCGAAATCGTGCCGATGGCTTGCGGCGTGGCTTTGGCTGGGGAGATGTGGAAACAATCGCAGCTATATATCCAGACGCATATATGCCTTGAGCATGATTGAGATATCACATTGCGGCGACAGTACATCAAAGTTGTACGTCGAAACTAGGTAGTAGCTCGACATGCAAGTAACAGCAAAAAGGCAGCGAGCGGACCGAAGCCGCGATCGCTGTAGAGGGTCAACGGGAAGATCATGTCGTTGACAACTGGGATGGGAAAAAAATTCTGGTAAGATTACGGTGACAGGGGTCCAAGCAAGGTCAAGAAATTGTCCGGTGCAGGCAGGGATATGTGTGGTTCGATGGAATTTCTGAAGAAAAAAGGGCAGAAAGAAAACGTAAGAATCATTGCATCAGTACTACCGAGAAAAGGGAAAAGGGCGTACGCTTGCTAATAATAACAAGTAGCGAGTCGATAGGAATGGTAGGATGGGACGGACAATGAGCTGGTATACGACGAGTCAGGAAAGCGAAGAACAAAGGGCCGATATTATTGGACGTGACCTTGCACATGAGCAGCCGAGTTGATAGAGGAGACGAGAGTAACTGCATTTGTCCTAGACTAGAAAAAGACGAAGCTTGGACAGGGCAGCCAAGAGCGCAGGTGTCAAGGGAGAAGCTGCACAGCCTTTGTTTTTGTTTGTACATGTAAAAAGCAAGGATGTGTAGCCATACTAATAGATCCGTAGAAATATAAACTGGAGAAGATAGGTTTGTCGTATTTTTATATTGTCAATTTTCGGGGAAAAGATGGAGTTCTCCATCTCGATACGCAGGGAGGGATGGCAGAGCGAGCACGGGGGGTTCTTTTCTGGCAGTTGGCAGTGGCAGTTTGCAGTGGCAGTTGGCAGTGAATGTGAAGGTAATATTAACCGGCGAGTTTTCCCGCGTGTCTCGGCCACGCCATGTTTCGGCTGAGGCTGCATATTCATATTTCATCTGTGCAATCCTCTGCGCGCTCTCTCGCCTTCTTTTTGCCTCTGTCCTTGTTCATAATTACTTGGTGACCACTGACGACGGCGGCTGACACGTCTCCCTGCTTTTTCCTGCATAGGTGGGGCGGCACTGGGCGACCTCTTGTTTTCCCTCGTCGTTCCGCGGGTCTAGGTGTAATTCCAATTCTGCTGAAATGGTTACTACGGCTGACTGCAATTTCTCCGTTATCTGTAGCGATACCAGTCAGTGCAAGGATTCAAGGATCCAAGGATTCCCGCGTTGTCGCTACTTTCGTGTCGCCCGTCAGCGGCGCCTCGTGCTCAATGCCATTGTTTCGACAAAAATTCCGCGCCCACGCGAAAAGGCTGCGAGACCAATACAAAGCTCACCGTCTGTGTCTTGGTGCTTGGACCTCATCGCGATGCATAAATTCCAGCCTGGTTCGCTGGCATCCAAGCAAGCCGTTGGCGCTCCACCTGGACCGTCGGCGACTTGGCTGGCGGCCGACAAACGCATAATAATAATAATAATCATCACGGGCTTGACGAGGCGCGTAACCAAACGCAAACCAATTACAGACATCCGATAAAAAAAAAAGCAGTGGCTAATAAAGCCATTTGAACCTAACTAGAAGACCGCGTCCAACTGCTTTTATTAGTCATTTTGCAAGCGGTTTGGTTTTTCCTTTTTTTGGAGCAGGAAATCATCTCGCCAGACTGACCGCGACTGGGCAAGACTGGGCAGCCACTGAAAATGCGCGCGTACCTGAGCGGGCTCCACCCGTCCTTGTCCACCCCTGTCTGCCCCTGTCCATCCTTGTCGACTGCCCCTGGCCGACTGAGCGGTCCGGCGGGTCGGCGGTGGCCAGCTCCTCTTTTGTAGCATTCTTACTGGTACATAGTTGCTCGCACGATGAGTTGGTACCAGGACTTGTTGGGCAACAGTTGGCTTGTGCTTGGCTGGCTGGGCGTTTGTACTGGTAAAGATTATTCGTATCGTATGGCTGACTGACTGCTGACCAGCCCTGCCCTGTTGCCGTGCCTGCCATGCATCCTCCTCCACACACGCACCTGCCTGGCTTCTCCGGGCCTGTCCACCTGCCCACCTGCCGCTGCCAACTTGCCTGCCTGGTCTGGCCTGGCTCCCCCCCCTCATCTCCCTACCCTCCCGTATAAAAAACGCTCTCCTGCAATTCTCTCACTCCTTTCCCCTTCTTCTCCTCTTCACCCACATACATTCGCTCATTGCTATACTACATACCCTGACTCTTCAGTCAATTTCATTCGTTACTCCAAACAATCACAACCTAATTTTCGAAACTTTTCGAGTCCAAAAAACCTAATACCGACAAAATGAAGTTCTCCGTCGCTGCCGTTCTCGCCGTCGCCGCTGGTGCCTCTGCCTACTCCAACGTTACCGTCACCACCGAGGTCGTTGATGTCTACACCACCTACTGCCCCGAGGCTACCCAGATCACCCACGGCACCAAGACCTACACCGTCACCGCTCCCACCACTCTGACCATCTCTGAGTGCCCCTGCACCATCACCCGCCCGGTCACGGTCACCTCTTCTGTTATCTGCCACAACTGGTACGTATCTTGACATGTCCTCACATCCACATCCGTGGGCATGGAGGAATCATTGATGCAGAAATCCCTGCTAACACCTCAACAGCCCCAAGCCCACTGGCGCTCCCCCCGCCCCCGCCCCCAGCTCCAACAACACGGTCCCCGTCAACCCTACCCCCAGCGCCGTCGTCCCTCCCACCGCTGGTGCTGCCAAGGCCGTCCCTGCCCTCGCTGGTCTCGTCGGCCTCGTCGCTGCCCTTCTGTAAATCGATTAACCAAATCATTCGCCATCCACATCAAACCTTTGGTTTCATTTGTTTGAGTTGGGGGTTCGATGGCCAGCCTCTGGTCTGATAAGGTTTTGGTTTATGGTTGGTAGCAATGGGTATCTTGGCGCCTGTGTCTTCAAAACATACGACTTGGAGAATTGGTACATAATAATGCTGCTCTGGGTCCTCGCCGCTGTGGAGTATATATCGGCCACGCTTGCTCCAGGCACTTCAGTTGTATATTTTGTTTTTTTCTCGGCTCGAGGGGGATTCGCCACGTCAAGCACGTCTGTATGTGTGCGGTCTTTTTCGTGGTCGGGGCCATCGAATGGTTTCCTAGCCTAGGAGTACTTGGGTTACTGTCCTGCCTCTTGCAGCATCCTATGTCTCGACAACTATAATTAGAAGTCATTTTCACCACGATCTTCGCTTCTGTGGATGTCTTGCGCTCTTCTAGGAGTGCTGTGGATTTTTAAACTCTGGGTGTTTTCTGGCTTTCCCGTATCATCTTGCTCGAGCCTGTATTGTAACTGGACAGGCAGCAAAAAGCCAGTTTTGGCCCGACTATTACTCTTTTTCTTGATTGCGTGCCTGTGACCTGTGACTTGTTTCGTCCTTGATCTAATTCATCACAGCAGTCGTCAATGACTTGCTGCGCCCGCTGTCGACATTGTCGCCGCCAATCCAGCCTCTTGGCCCGCCCTACCCGAAATTACAGAGCGGGGCGCGCCTGGCTTGGGCAAATTTCAAACACGAGATGAAGAAAGGCAGTGTCTCGCTCTATCACGATGTACGGAGTACATTTCCATGGAATGACTGACCAACAAATACTACTCCGTACAATTAAGCAAATGATGCAATGTCTCCCATTACAGTACGCACAAGCCAAGGCCACGCGCAACACCGAGTTGCAGCCAACATGACTACATAGCTACCCAGCGGTCTTATCTACGGGGTACACGAGGTCTCCCCAAGAGCTCGGCGCAAGCCACGGCCGTCAACGGTGCCGATAATGGTCAGCTACTGATAGTGACGGGGTACGACATCCAGCTCTGTCGTGCGTTCTTTTGTGCAACCCGCGTCGAGCCAGCGCATTCGTCGCACCAGCATAGTTACCTGATACAAGGCACAAGTTGTCGAACACTGGGCTTTGCACCTTGCGCTACGCAGAGATGGTTGGACGCGCCGGCATTCTACTAGGCCAGCGCGCGGCAGAACTCTAATCGCCAACCAGCCGTAGCGAAAAACGAACGGTGATAGGGCTCCTGGTATCAGTCAAGGGCCGTTTCTCTACGGTTTTGCGTGCTCTTTTGAGCTTTCTCGCTGCAGAGATGATCAAACGCGCTACTAGCAGGCAGGCCACTACATGACCTCCTGCTACCCTAGACATACATTGTATAGTTCCGTCGCGTAATCTTGCAACGACTCACAAAGCTGTCGTGGAATTCTTGATGGTCCTGTGATGGCATAATATGGGCAATCGTGATTATCTGATGCGCATGATGATTGTTTGATGCATACGCCAGCCTTGCTACCACCCACTCTACTTGTTTCATCCTCAGTGATCTGACCCGCATTGCATTAATATGCATTCCGAGATATGCCAGATCGCCAGACCAAAGGAGCAAATGAACGGAGAATATTGATTGCACAACCTCGGAAGATTACTCAGACTCATCATTGCCAATCTACTTGGTTCGACTGACCACCCGCGACATTCCCATCATTGGGCCGCCACAGCAGCAATTTGCACAGCCACTATCGATAACCAGTCTGGCAGGCCGCAACAAGAGGTATATACACTAGAAAAAGAAACGCGACAATTGGCAGAAAAGCATCCTCAAAATCCGGCTCCCCATTCCCACACAAGTCCGGGGAAAAGGAAGCTCGGCTGGAGAAGCGGGGATGTAGCCGGCTGGCTCTCCATCTCTCCATAGTAGCCGCGCCGCGAATCGAACCGGCCCGCCCCCATTGGCTGCCAGATGTGCCGAGCCCCCACACGAGCTTCTCAGATATATAATCCCAGCAACCATCATCTTGCTGGCAGCCTTTTCAATTCTCCCCAGCATCCCCCTTTGTCCTTTCTCCCTCGCCTGCATCACCATGATCACACGTCTGACATAACAAGCCCACGAAAACCATCAGTAAAATCAAAATCTCCTGCCGACGGCCCATGTCCTCCCGCATCGCCCTCCCCGTCGTCCACCCGCGCACCAGAAAGATGCAGCACCTCCAGGATGAGACGCTGCGGGAGAGCCTGCAGAGCCCCGATGACTTCTGGGCGCGCCAGGCCGAGCAGCTGCACTGGCACAAGAAGCCCGACGCTACCCTGCGTACTTTTGACAGGACCGTCGACGGCGGCGGCGACGACGACGACGGCAGCACGTACCGCTCGTGGGAGTGGTTCCCCGGCGGCGAGCTGTCCACCTGCTACAACTGTGTCGACCGGCACGTGCTCGCCGGCCGCGGCGACGATGTTGCCATCTACTACGACAGCCCCGTCACCAAGACCAAGGCTCGGTACACATACAAGCAGCTCCTCGACGAGGTCGAGACGCTGGCTGGCGCCCTACGCCAAGAAGGCGTCAACAAGGGTGACGTCGTCATGCTGTATAGTAAGTATCCTCCTCTTGGTCTAAAAAATGCAATCTGTGCTGACCGTTTCAGTGCCCATGATACCTGCTGCCATCATCGGCATCCTGGCCATCAACCGCCTCGGCGCCGTCCACTCGGTTGTCTTTGGCGGCTTCGCCGGCAACGCCCTCGCCCAGCGCATCGACGCCTGCCGACCCGTGCTGCTGCTCACTGCGTCGTGCGGCATCGACGGCTCCAAGCCGCCGATCCCGTACCGGCCGCTCGTCGAGGAGGCCCTGCAGCGTGCCGCCCACCCGCCGCGGCGCACCATCGTCTGGCAGCGCGAGGAGCTGCGCTGGGGCAAGACGGACCGCGTGCGCCAGTCGTCGTGGCAGAAGTGGGTGCGCAGCGCCCGGGACCGCGGCGTCCGCGCCGACTGCGTGCCCGTCGGCAGCGGCGACCCCGCGTACGTGATCCACACGTCCGGCACGACGGGCGCGCCCAAGGGCGTGCGCCGCGACAGCGCGGGCCATGCGGTCGGTCTCAACCTGTCTATCCGGTACCTGTTCGGCATCCGTGGCCCCGGCGACGTCATGTGCACGGCGTCGGACGTCGGCTGGGTGGTCGGCCACTCCTACATTGTCTACGCGCCGCTGCTGGCCGGCGCGGCCACGGTGCTCTACGAGGGCAAGCCGGTCGGCACACCGGACGCGTCGGCGTTCTGGCGTCTCGTTGAGGAGTACAAGGTGAACGCGCTCTTCACGGCGCCGACGGCGCTGCGCGCGGTGCGTCGGGACGACCCGGATAACCGGTGCCTGGCGGAGGTGGGCCGCCGCGGCGGGCTGCGCTCGCTGCGCGCGCTGTTCCTCGCGGGCGAGCGCTCCGAGCCGAGTCTCATCTCCGCGTACCAGGCGCTGCTGGACGAGCACGCGGCGCCCGAGGGCGCGCACGTCATCGACAACTGGTGGTCGACCGAGGTGGGCTCGCCAATGACGGGCCGGGCGCTGGCGCCGCACGCCGCGCGGGAGATCCGCGCGCAGCCTCCTCGCGGCTACCGACCGCCGGAGATCCGGCCGGGCAGCGCCGGCAAGGCGATGCCGGGCTTCGACATCCGCGTCGTCGACGACGAGGGCAACGAGGTGCCGCGCGGCGGCATGGGGAACATCGTGCTGGGCATGCCGCTGGCGCCGACGGCGTTCAGCACGCTCTGGGGCGACGAGGCGCGCTTCTACAGGAGCTACCTGAAGAGGTTCGGCGGGCGGTGGATGGACACGGGTGACGCGGGGCTGATCGACGACGAGGGCTACGTGCATGTCATGAGCCGCAACGATGACGTGCTCAACGTGAGCGCGCATCGGTTGTCCAGTGGTATGTATTCGACCGGGGAACTACTCAATACACGCAAGCTAATCTCTTTTCTCATCTTAGGCGCCATCGAGCAGGCTGTCTCCTCGCACCCGCTGGTGGCCGAGTGCTGCGTGGTGGGCATCCCCGACGCGCTCAAGGGCCAGCTGCCGTTTGCCTTTGTGACGCTGTCGACGCACCCGCACCCTCCGTCGGCGGTCCCCGACGAGGCGCTGACGCGGGAGGTGCAGGCGCTGGTGCGGGCGCAGGTGGGCGCGATCGCGACGCTCGGGGGCGTGGTGCAGGGCCGCGGCATGATCCCGAAGACGCGCTCGGGCAAGACGCTGCGGCGGGTGCTGCGGGAGCTGGCGGAGAACGCGACGCGCGGGGCGTTGGAGAGGCCGGTGGCGGTGCCGAGCACGGTGGAGGATGCGGCAGCGGTGGAGGTGGCGAGGGAGAAGATCAGGGAGTACTTTGCGGCGGAGGGGCACGGGGGGGGGGGGATGTGGAGAGGAGGGGATGTCAAGGCTACGGTTCATGGACGATGAGAGGTAGTCTAGATGGGGTATGCGAAGCGGCTGGTGAGATTTGAGGCCGTTACGACAATACACTATATTTTGGATATATGATCCCTTCCGTTCGGCGCGTCTCACTTGAGTTGAAATAATAAACAACACTTCCAGACCGCACGAGACCGCCCGTTGGGCCCTGCAGCCTCCTCGTCGTGCATGACCACCACCACTACTACCTCCCTGAACAACTCACACATGCGTGCCTTGTCATCCCTGCTCGCGCGTCGTCGTATTCTCCGACATGCGTCGTGCGGCCGTTCTACAACAGTTCAGCCTGCTGCATATGGCCTCGCCGCCCGCATCTCTGTCGTCCCGAGGAGGTGTCGGCGGCAGCTTGAAATCTTTCGTTTTTCTCGGGCTGCGGTGCTACCCATCAGCCCCCCCCCCCCCCCCCAC